GCCCCTATGGGGAGTTGACCCGAGACCTCTCAGTCCATGAGATGACGCTCAGTCCACTGAGCTACACCTGCCTGGCCTACAGTTGTTTTATTTCTAAGGGGCAGGTCCTAAGAAGTACAATTACTGAGTCAAGATATGCATATTTTTCATTTTAGTAGATATCATGACATTGCTTTCCAAAGTTGTAGCAGTTCACAGTTCTACCAGCAAAGAAAGAGTGCTGGCAGCATCACCACTCTTGAACTTTATTGCTTCTATTCCCTTTTGCTAGTTTCATAAGGAACAAGCACTAAGTTTTTGTTGTTCTTTTGCTTTAGTTTGCATTTCTATACTAATGAGGTTGACTATCCTTTCCTGTATTTATCGAAAATTTGGATTTCCTCTTCTCTGACATTTTGTAAAGTTGTCACATTTTGCTATACATTTTTAGAGATCCATATTAGAGAAAAAACCTTTTGTCATATTTGTTGCAACTATTTTCTTTGGTTTAGTGTTCATGTTCTGAATACATATAAAATATTTATTTATGCCCTGGCCGGTTTGGCTCAGCGGTTAGAGCGTCGGCTTGTGGTCCAGAGAGACCTGGGTTCAGTTCCCGCTAAGGGCATGTACCTTGGTTGCAGTTTGTCCCCGGCCCTGGTTGGGTCGTGTGGGTGGCAACCACTCGATGTGTCCCTTTCACATCAATGTTTCTCTCTCTCTCTCTCCCTCCCTCCCACTCTATCTGAACAAAAAATGGAAAAATGTCCTCGGGTGAGGATAAAACAATTTTTTTTAATAAAATAAAATAAAACATTTATTTTTCTTTTGCAGTGCAAAATTTTAATTTTTTATATGGTCAAATCTATATAATGGCCCGGCTGGTGTGGCTCACTGGTTGAGTGTTGACCCATGCACCAAGAGGTTGCTGGTTTGATTCCCATTCAGGGTATATGCCCAGGTTGTGGGCCAAATCCCCAGTGGAGGGCATGTTTCTATCTCTCTCTCCCTCTCCCTTCCTCTCTCTCTAAAATCAATAAAGAAAAAAAAGTATGTAATGTTCCCTAAATAGCTTCTGTGTTTTCTAGCTTGCTTAGGAAGCTGTCCCCATGCCAAATTAAAACAAATATTCTGCAATTTTTTTTTGGTAAAATATGTGTGTTTTTCTACATGTACTTTTCATTAATCTTGACTTAACTTTTGCATATGGTGTGAAGTAGGGATTTAAATTAGATTTTATCCTTGTAATTCAATTTTTTTCCAGAACCATTTATTAAATAAACCATCACTTTCCCATCAAAATGAAAGACATTTGTGTCCAATATTAAATCTCTTCAATAATCAGACATATTTTAAGCCATCTATTATGTTCTACTGGTCTACATTGTTCTTAGTATATACCATACCAGATATTTTGTTGTTCAGATACAATTCATAGAACATAAAATTGACCATTTTAAAGTGAACAATTCAGTGACATTCAGTACATTCACAATGTTGTGCAAATACCACCTGTCTCTATCTCCAACACATTAAAATATTTTTTTTTCTTCTTTACTAATTTTGAGAGAGAGAGAGGAAGGAAGAGGGAGAGAGAGAAACATCAATGAGAGAGAATCTCAACTGGCGGCCTCCTGCATGCCCCCCACTGGGAATCAGGCCCACAACCTGGGCATGTGCTGTGACCGAGAATCGAACTGATGACCTCTTGATTTATGGGTTGATGCTCAACCACTGAGATACACGGGCCAGATCCAACACATTTTTATCACTACAAAATGAAACCCCATGCCCTTAAGCAGGTACTTCCCATTCCCTTCTTTCTCCTTGCCTTTCTTAATCACCGATTTGCATTCTGTCTCTATGTACAGTAGTCTCCCCTTATCCTCAGTTTTGCTTCCACAGTGTCCCCCAAAATGTATATGGTGAAGCCCTAATACCTAGTACCTCAGAACGTGACTGTGTTTGGAGATAGGCCCTTTAAAGAGGTGATTAAGTTAAAATGAGGCCTATTAAAGTGGACCATAACCCAATCTGATAGCAATCTTTTTTTTTTTAATCCTCACCTAGGATATTTTTCTATTTATCTTCAAGTAGAGTGAGAGGGAAGCTGAGGGAGGGAGAGTAAGGATGAGAGGGGAAGAGAGAGAAACATCAATGTGAGAGATACACATTGACTGGTTGCCTCCTGCACAACCCCGACCAGGGCCAGGGATGAACTGCAACCAAGGCACATGCGCTTGACCAGAATCAAATCCATGACTTATTAGCCCACAGGCTGATGCTCTAACCGCTGAGCCAAATTGGCCAGGGCCTGATAGCAATCTTTATGTGAAGAGGGAATTTGGACACACAAGGAGACACAAGTGGTGGGACCACACAGAGAAAAGACGATGTGAGGACAAAGTAAGATGGTGGCCATCAGTAAGCTAAGGAGAGAGGCCTTAGAAACCAACTTCATCCTGAACTTCTAGCCTCCAGAATTGTGAGAAAATAAATTTCTGTTGTTTAAACTACCCAATATGTGGTATTTTGGCAGCCCTAGCAAACTAATACAGGTAGAAGTGTCATCTTATTAATATTAAGTCTTCCAGTTCATGAACATGGGATATCTTTCTATTTATTTAAGTCTTCTTTCATTTATTTCAGCAATGTTTTATAGTTTTCATCTCCTTGTACAAATTTATTCTTTAATTTTTTTTTTCTTTATTGATTTTAGAGAGAAAGGAAGGGAGAGACAGAGAGAGATGGAAACATTGATGAGAGAGAACATCGATTGGCCGCCTCCTGCATGCCCCCCACTGGGGATTTGGCCCACAACCTGGACATGTGCCCTGACCAGGAATCAAACCAGTGAGCTTTTGGTGCACAGGATGATGCTCAACCAACATTGGGCCAGGGTTATAATCCTAGTATTTAAAATTTTTTTAATGAGAGTTTATTTGAGCCAGCTGAACAGTGTTAGCTAAATTGATGGAGACTTAGATATGGCACCTGACTGTGCCTAAAGGGGGAGGGCTCAGAAAAGTAACAATGGCCTCTGCAGCACTTCTGGGAGAACACTGTCCCTCCAGCCTTTGCACTAAAGCCAGACAATTCAGTTCTTCCCTGTATGTCTCTTGAGTCCATCAGCAAGTCAGTCCATGAGTGGGCTCTTTAAGAGGAATGCCTGAGTGCTGGCTGGTTTGGCTCAGTGGTTAGAGCGTCAGCCTGTGGTCCACAGAGACCCGGGTTCGGTTCCCGCTAAGGGCACGTACCTCGGTTGCAGTTTATCCCCGGCCCTGGTTGGGTCGTGCGGGTGGCAGCCACTCGATGTGTCCCTTTCACGTCGAAGTTTCTCTCTCTCTCCCTCCCTCTCTATCTGAACAAGATATCAAAAAAAAAAAAAAAGAGCAATGCCTGGGACTCTAGAAGCTCCATCTCACTTAGCTGAAATCCCCTCTAGTTTTCACAGACCTCTCTTCCTGGCATTGTAACCCTTGGCTGGGGAACCTGGTGTGGAGCTGGGACCCCTCACTCCTCAGGGGCGACCTCTGCATCCAGATATCCCTCCAGATTTTCAACCACCACATGTGGGTGTGGGACCAGCCCATTCTGCACCTCTGCACCTCCTACCAATCTTGAAGTGGCTTCTTTTGTATATCCTTGGTTATAGGAGTTCTGTTCAGCTAGACTTCAGCAGGTTCCTTCAGCCTCTTGGATAGCCTCCACTAGAGGTCTCTCAGACCTCCTACACCCACTCTGACCCCAAATGGTCTCAGTGTCTCTCCCAAACCTGCTGGGTAGACAGAAAGTGGAGTACAAACACGCATTTGCTTTTTGCTTTTCAGCACTCACCCCCTTTTTTTGGTTAATCCTCACCTGAGGATGTTTTTTCCTTTGATTTTTAGAGAGAGTGGAAGGGAGGGAGGGAGGGAGAGAGAGAGAAACATTGATGCGAGAGAGACACATTGATTGGTTGCCTCATGCACACACCCCGAATGGGTGCCAGGGATCAAGCCTGCAACCCAGGTATGTGCCCTTGACTGGGAATCGAACCTGTGACCCTTAGGTAAGTGGGCTGATGCTTTAACCACTGAGCAACACTGGCTAGTTCCATTCCCCCTTCTTAATAGTACATTGTCCTAATAAGAATGGTCCTTACACACACACACACACAGAGAGAGAGAGAGAGAGAGAGAGAGAGAGAGAGAGAGAGAGAAGCATGAGATGAGGGTAAGACTAACTACCCTGCCCTCAGATCCAGGGTGTACTCTGATTGGCTTAAACCACTCAAGTTTGAGTCCCTCTGGCAGTGTGAGTGGTAAAGTGGTGAGCTTATGACACAACCCCATCCAATCAGAGTGACTGACAGGATTGACAGCCTGGGATGTTGGACTCCTGCCCTTTCTTCCTCTGGACAATAAGCCGTGTGGATGTGTAGCCTCAGACTGTGAGGGGGGCTGGCCTGAGATCAGAGATCACACTCACAGGAGGGCAGAGCAGGGAAAGCTACAGACAAATGGAGCGAGAATCCTGTGGATATTGAAAACTTCTGGGCCAAACTGTACCCGAAGCTTAGCTTGACAAAACCCATATATTATAATTCCCATTTGGACTATTTGTGTGAAATTGCAACTAAAACAAAGTTCTTAACTTCTCCAGAGTCTCCTCCTTAAGCTAAACACCAGATAGGTGTTGACATCCAAAACATTTAATGACTGGTACTAAACCTGGGCACTGAACAGTCAGAACAGACTTCAGGCCATAGCAATGGGCCTGGGTCATGGCAGACCTGCTGGACTGTAGAAGGGTCAGGGGCACCCTGGGGAGGGGCTGAGTCGGCAGGCACACAGAGAAGCCGCTGTTTACCAACTAGCACAGAAGTACTTTGGTATTTTAATGACCTATGTGGCTGTGTGGTCCGAAGGAGAAATGAAAATTCAAGCAAAACAAAAAGAAAGCCTTGGGATGGGTGACAGGTTGCATTTCAAAGACGGCCCAGGAAGTAAGCAATGAGGGGGGTGGGGCAGGTAAGAGGCCTAGGTCAGTGACACCTTCTTCACTATTTCCTCGGGTTTAGCCTTGTTGTCCTGAGCCACCTTAGAGGTGACCTTGAAGCTGACCTTGGACCCAGTACTAGTTCTGGCCTCAGATACATTGCCTAGGCCTCTGGAAGAGGAGCTGTAAGTGTAGGTTACTGAGGCGATGATGTTGTTGATCCTCCAGTGGAGGTTGTTGCAGATCTTCACCAGAAGGGGCAGCAAGAGGCAAAAGATGATGTAGAGGATCACCAGGCTGAGAAACACGCTGGCTGACACCTGCAGGCACCACACAGCAAGTGCTGATGGGGAGCCTGGTGGGGCCCCGCCACCCTGCAGGGCAGCTCCTGAGCACCCACTCACCAGGAGGATGAAGAGGGCCCGCTTGGCACTGACTGGAAGCCCGTGGATATGCAGCAAGAAGATGAGCTGGTAGTCACAGTATGTGCTCTTGTCCACACCTCTGGCCGGGGAAGGGATACAGGATTGCAGAGGAGTCAGACAACCCCCCCCCCCCCAGGAAGCCCCTGACCCCACCTGGGACACATGCCTGGCTTACCTATTGCTCACCAACACCTTGAAGAAGAATTCAGGGGCAAAGATGCTATGGGGAACGGTGTCATAGCATGGGGAGTTCTCCAGACACAGCCACCTGGGGACTCACAGTCAGGCACTTGTGCTGCAAACCATGCATAGCACATGCCAAGCCCTGACTTCTCCGTCCACCCCACAGACCCCGGTGAGCACCAGGTAGGTCTTCTTACACCTTTATCCGTGACTTGCTCCTTCATTCATTCATCCAGCAAGGCTGGCTGAATGCCTAGCACCTGACAGACCATTTGTTTACTCATTCATTTCCTCCTGCCTTGCCATGTCCATCTGTCAATTCCTCTGTTACTACGCACTCATCTAGATTACGGATTGTGCACCTAGTATGTGCTGACTCCTCACTGATTCCTTGCTGCCTTCATTCCTTCATCCCACAAACACAGCTCGAGCACCTAGTAGGTACAAAGTCACCTCTTCATTCATTTACTCTTTCCTTCATTCATTTATTCAACAAACGTAGGTTGAATGCTGACTAGGTGCAAGTGGGTTACTTTATTCATTCAGTCACTTCTGTCATTTGCTCATAGCATCATTTTCTTCCTTTCATTGAATCAAAAATAGTAATTGAGCCCCTATATACTAATTTGTTCCTCTATTGTTTTAATCATCATTAAGACCTTCATTAAAATGTCAATAATGCCTGCCTTGCTGGTGTGGCTCAGTGGCTGAGCATCGACCCATGCTCCAAGAGGTCGACGAATTCCCAATCAGGGCACATGCCAAGGTTGTGGGCCAAATCCCCAGTGGGGGGCATGCAGGAGGCGGCCAACTGATATTCTCTGTCATTGATGTTTCTATCTCTCTTTCCCTCTCCCTTCCTCTTTCTCTAAAATCAATAAAGAAAAAAATTTTTAATGTCAATAATGCCTACTATGAGTTTTAATTTGTTCATTGTCTCATTCCACGGATACCATGTTGCGTTTTTTTCAGAATCTGGACCTATAAGGGAGACAGACCCCATAGGAGACAGTAACAGCCCAGAGGGGTCAGGGTTTGGATGGGGGAAAGCACAGGCAAAGAGGTCAAGGCTGGGATGGGGAACATAGGCAGAGGGTCAAGGCTGGGATGGAGCAGCACAGGAGGATGGGAGCCAACTGTCCCATCTGGAACAGTCAGAAAAGTCCTCCTAGATGAAGAGGCATCTGAACTAAGGCCCAATGAAAAAGTAAGAGGGACCAGCAGGGCAGAGAGGGTGGCCAGCGTATGTAATGGTCAGCCCCATTTGAGGAACACAAAGGTGGTCAATGTGGCTTGGAGATCAAGAGGTCTCCCTGAAGCAGAAGGGATGGACAGGCCCGACAGACTGTGGGCAGGTGGGGGATAAAGGAGCCGGCCGCCAGGATGTGCACTCACTCGATGCCCCAGCTTTGGTGGGACAGGATGCTGAAATTATCCTTGGTGGTCGTTGCGTTCTTGGTGGTCCAGATGAGGCTGTCTGTGCTGTGGAGGACCTCGAAACCTTAGTGGGGGCGGGGCCTCGGTTGCCCACGCAGGGGGAGGCCAGCCTGGTGAGCAGTGGCCCGGGAGGGTCTAGGTTGGAGCCCTTGGTGGGCGGGGCTTCATATTATGGGCGGGGCAAGAATTTGTGGCACTCCGGGAGCCTTGTTGTGGGCGGGGCCTGAGATACCGAGGTGGGTGGGGCTTGCAGCAAGGGCGAAGGTGAGTGGCTGGGAAGCGGGAGAGGTCTGCAGGGAAAGGAAGGCCAGGTTATTGGCCAGGTCCCACAGGGATTACTTGTCCAGAGGGCTGTTGAAGCGGTAAATCTCCTCCTCGTCGTATTCCTTGATGGTGTCCAGGGTGGGCCCGCCGCCCACCACCTTCAACACATAGCTGCCGGGAGCAGAAGTGCACCCCAACTGGCCTCAGTGTCCCAGTCCCACCTCCCCAACTCTACCCCTGTACCCTCTCCCGTCAACCGTGGGCTTGGCCGTGCCTGTACCTGCCCTGAAAACTGCCGGAGTCTCCCGTCACCATATCTTGGATCAAGAAGAAGGGGTAGAAGACTGTGGGGTGGGAGGGGGTTGAGGCCAGGAGGAGGAGACATTAACTTGGCTGGAGAAGTGGAGGAGGAAGAGGGGAGAGGAGAGAGAGAGAGAGAGAACCGAGGGGAAGAGCAGAGGGCGGGTGGGAAGGTAAGGGGCAGGGAGGAAAGGCAGGTAGGGCAATGTGGTGGGGGCAGAGCACAGTGACAGTGCCGAGGAGGGGACGGGACACGCACTGTTGCGGAAGAGGAAGCAGGGCATCTCCGGGTCTACGTGGACGCAGTCGAAGTAGTGTTTGTTCTGCATGAGGTTGTACTCCAGCGTGTAGGTGATGTCAAAGGCCAGGCGCTTGCCTGGCGGGCAGCCGATAAGCACTGGCAGCACCAGGTTACCCTGAGTGGCAACAGCGAAGCCTCATGCTGGGAAGTGGGAAGGGGAGGACACCCCTCCTCCCACAAACACCATCACTACCTGCCAGGCTCACCCTCACCAGGGGGCCATCTGATCACTATTTTCCTTAAAACAATACTCTAACAGCTACAAATACATAGTTTTTACTGTGTGCAAGGCACTGGTATTTTAAGCACTTTACATATTCAAATGCATATTTTTTTGTTAAATATGTTTTATTTTGTTTTTAATCCTCACCCAAGGATATTTTTCCATTTTTGTTCAGATAGAGTGGGAGGGAGGGAGGGAGAGAGAAACATGGACGTGAGAGAAACACATCGACTGGTTGCTTCCCGCATGACCCCAATCAGGGCTGGGACAAACCGAAACCGAGGTATGTGCCCTTGACCGAAATCAAACCTGTGACTCATTGGTCCGCCAGCCAATGCTCTAACAGCTGAGCCAAATCGGCCAGGGCTGTGAAATATGTTTTCATTGATTTTTTTAGAGAGGAAGGGAGGGAGAGAGATAGAAACAGGGATGTGTGAGAGAGAAACATCAGTTGGCAGACTCCTGAATACCCACTACTGAGGATTGAGCCTGAAACCCTGCATGTGCTCTGACTGGGAATTGAACCAGGACCTCTCAGTCCATGGGATGATGCTCAATCCACTGAGCCACGCCAGCTGGGCTCAAATGCATTTGAATCTCCAAACAGCCTTACATGGTAGAGGCTATTAATATGTTCATTTTAGAGATGGCAAAAGTGAGGCACAGAGAGGTCCAACAACTTACTAATTATCCAAACATGTGTAGCTGTTAATGGTAGAGCTGGGCTCCAAACTGGGCCAGGGAGCTTCTGGTTGCCCCCAGAAAAAGACGCGTAAAACAATAACAACTCCGCCGGTGGGGCAGTCAACTCCTAGTCAGACTTTATAGGGTCGAGCTGGGCCTGAACTCTCAAACAATTAACCTGGGGAAGCATGGGGTACATGACGGAAGTGCAGCCGGGATGGGGACAGGGAACTTCTGTGACATTGTCTTCAGAATGAATGACCCCTGGCCCATTTCAGGGGTAGGGCCCAAGGGTTTCACCCAATTGTCAAAGGGACATGGGCATCTAGAAACTATGGTCTGGCCCTGACAGCAACTGTGGAGAGGAAATGGTAGCCGTAGAGTAAGCATTTCTCATGCTGGACCTGGGCCACAGACTACACCTATCAGCCACTCACTGAGAGTCTAATGGGCATCTCCAATTCAATCTACCCATAACCCACCTCCATTAATGGCACCTCATCCCTCTATGTTCAGGCTAAAAGCCTTGGCCTCATCTTCGAAACCTTCCTTTCTCTCACCCCCATGTCCAGTCCATTCAGATAGCCTGTGTCTCTAGACTTCAAACTAGAACCATTCTCTCCCCCTCTCAGCTCCTTTGCCTGCCTAACTTTGTTTCCTCCCTGGTTTCCGCTCTGCAATACTGCTCACATGAACCCCACATGCAGCCAGAGGGACCCTGTGAACACCCGGATCTCTCCTCTGCTCAGAGCCCTCCCTTAGTGCTATCTTGCTCATCATGGCACATTAGACCTCATGGGACCTGCCCTCCTCACCACTCTGATGTCCTTTCTCACCACTTTCCTCCTTACTCACCCTGTTCCAGCCATACCTGCCCCTCCTGTAGTCTAACACATGAAACATGCTCCTGCTTCCAGGCCTTTCTACCACCCGTTCCCTCTCACCGCATGCCTTCCCCACACGTCACCACATGACTCACTTCCTCTTCTCCTTCAAGTCTTTGCTCAAATGTTGCCTCCTCTGCCAGGCCTTCCCTGAGTCATCCTATCACAAATGCTGACCTACCCCATGCCCCTTGCCTGCCTTTTCCCTCCTAGCGCTCATCACCTCTTAACACACAGTATTTTTTCTTTATCTTATTGTCTGACTGTTGTGGGTGAATCATGTATTCCAAAGATATGTTGAAATCCTAATCCCGTGGTACCTGCCAATGTGACCTAATTTGGAATAGGGTCTTTACACATGTAATCAAGTAAAAATGAGGTCATACTGGATTAGGCTAGGCCCTAAATCAATGACTGCTGTTCTTGTAAGAAGAGGAAAATTTGGCCCTGGCCAGTTTGGCTCAGCAGTTAGAGCATTGGCCGGTGCACCAAAGAGTCCAGGGTTTAATTCCAGCCAAGGGCATGTATCTCGGTTGCGGTTCATCCCCGGCCCCGGTTGGGGTCTTGCGGGTGGTAACCAATCGATGTGTCTCTCTCACATCGATGTTTCTCTCTCTCTCTCTCTCTCCCTCCCTCCTGCTCTATCTGAAGATAAATGGGAAAAAAATATATCCTCAGGTGAGGATTAAAGAAAAGAGGAAGAGGGAAATTTGGACACAGACACACAGGGAAAAGACCTTATGAAGATGAAGGCAAAGATTGGAGCGATGCATCTATGAGCCAAGGAAGTTCAAGAACTGTTAACAACCACCAGAACCCAGAACAGAGGCCTGGAACAGACTCTCCCTCAGAACCTCCAGAGGGACCAACCCTGATTTTAGATTTCTGGTTTTCATAACTGGAAGAGAATAAACTTCCCAATTTGTGGTAAGTTGTACGACAGCCCTAGGAATGAAGACCCTCCCCGCACTGCAACATCAGCTTCGCAAGGACAGAAACTGTCTTCTTTGTTCACTGCTGCAACTCCAGCACCTAAAACGATGCTGACATGTAGTAGGCACTCAATCCACACTGGTTGAATGAGTGAATAAGCTTCAGGCACAGGGAGTAAAATCTGTTCCTGGTCTATCCCTGATCCCAGTCCCAGCCCCCTTCCCCTAGGAGGTCCATCTTTGGAGCTAGCCTGCTAAGAAACACTCCAAGCCTTTATGTGTCTAACCAAATTTGATTGAGCACCTATTATGTATAAATTCATTTTTTCCTCCCTTCATCCAAGATGTTTACAAGTTGAGAATCCACTGTTTATCAATTAGTTCCAGTTTTCATTTTTTCCAGGGTGGAGAGCCAGAGAAAGGCTCCAGGCCTTTCAAACATACATGCCGCTTGATCTGGTAATGTGGGGCTGAGGGGACAGAGGGACTAGAAACCTGAACAGCCACAGCCTGAAAATACAAAGAAAGGGAAGCTCAGACGACCTTCAGCACCTCTGTTTCCCTGTCTGTCTCTCTCTCTTTTTGTCATTGGCTGTTTAAAAAATTGATTTTGAGAGACAGGAAAGGGTGAGAGAGAGAGAAACATCCATGTGAGAAACATTGATCAGTTGCCTTCCACATGCCCCCCAATGGGGATTGAACCTGCAACATGGCATGTGCCCTGACCGGGAATCAAACCAGCGACCATTTGCTGTACTGGAGGATGCTCCAACCACCCGAGCCACAGCGGCCAGGGCAAGTCATTGGCTTTTTTAAAAACTTAATTTTAGATGGATAATATGGTCACATATGAATATATGGAGATACACACACACACACACACACACACAGTGAAAAGTTCCATTTCCATCTTCCAACTTTCCTGCCTCTCCTCTATCTCCAAAGTAGGAAACCACCCTGAGTGTTTTTTTTTCTTTTTGCCCATTTTCTCAGTTTCTTCATGCAAATAGAAGCAAACATGAATATATGGTCTCAATGAACCTCTTTCATGCTAAAGGGTTTTTATTAATTTTTTTTCTTTATTGATATTTAGGGAAAGAGGAAGGGAAGAGGGAGAGAGAGATAGAAACATCGATAAAAGAGAACATCGATTGGCTGCCTCCTGCATGCCCCCCACTGAGGATTGGCCCACAACCTGGGCATGTGCCCTGACCAGGAATCAAACCAGTGACTTCTTGGTGCATGGGCTGACGCTCAACCACTGAGCTACACTGGCCGGATGAAGCTAATGTTTTTTTGTTTTTGTTTATTTTATCCTCACCCGAGACATTTCTCCATTTTTTGTTCAGATAGAGTGGGAGGGAGAGAGAAGAAGAGAGAGAAAGCGAGAAACATCAACGTGAAAGGGACACATTGAGTGGCTGCCACCCGCATCACTAACCAGGGCCGGGGACAAACTGCAACCAAGTACATGTCCTTAGCGGGTCTCTCTGGACTACAGACCGATGCTCTAACTGCTGAGCCAAACTGGCCAGGGCTCTCTCTCTTTTTTTTAATCCTCACCTGAGGATATTTTTCTATTTATCTTCAGATAGAGTGGGAGGGAGAGAGAGAAAGAAACATCAGTGTGAGAGGGACACATCGACTGGTTGCCTCCTGCATGACCCTGACCAAGGCCGGGGATGAACCACAACCAAGAGAGGTATGTACCCTTGACTGGAATTGAACCCGTGACTCTGGTCTGTGGGCCGATGCTCTAACTGCTGAGCCAAACTGGCCAGGGCCTGTTTTTTCCTCTTAAGAATAAAATACAATCTGGCTGATGTGGCTCAGTGGTTGAATGTTGACCCATGCACCAAGAGGTCGCTGGTTCGATTCCCGGTCAGGGCACATGCCCAGGTTGTGGGCCCGATCCCCGTTGGGGGACATGCAGGAGGCGGCCAATCGATGTTCTCTCTCATTGATGTTTCTCTCTCTTCCTCCTTCTTACCTCCTCTCTCTCTAAAATCAATAAGAAAAATAAAATAAAATACAGTTTTGAGAACATTTCACATCAGTACATAAAGATCTTTCTCTTCTTATAGCTGCATCGTTTTCCATTGCATGGATGTACCATAATTTATTTTACCATTCCCCTATTCATGAACATTTAGGTTGCTCTCGACCTTTTGCTGTAAGTGTGTTATAGATTAGATTCCCAGAAGGAATTTGCCTGGTCAAAAATGGGGATGTTAACTTTGACCTTCTAGAATTATGATAAAGAGGAAAATAATGCCTATCACTAAGCATGGCAAGAAACACTTATGGGGACTGAGGTGAGTCACTCTACCCTGCACTTGACCCAAGTTATCTCATGCAATCCAAGGTGTTGGGGCTGTTACAACCCCCATTTTTACTCCCCTACCAAGGACAGGAGAGTGAGTGAGAACAAGGCCTCTGGGTCAAGTCCCTCCTCTACCACCTATTAGCTCCCTGGGTCACTCTGAGAAGATGTCTGCACCTCTCTGAGCCTGTGTCTGCCTCTGTGCAAAGGGGTTATTGCATGTGAAGAACCAAGGACCCAAAGGAGTGAACAGAGCACAGGTAAGTGGGCTCACGAAGAGCAACATGTGGGGAAAGGGCCAAGCTGGCCTACATGGCACCTTTGTGCCAGTTGGAAAAGGAAGCCCATGTCGCAGATGCTTTACTGCTCCCTGCAGAACAGTATCAGAAGGAACATACAAATTTGGGTGCAATTTCTATAACTGAAAGGCAGACCTTTCTGAAAACAGAAATGGATGAAAGGAGTGAGTGGGTGGGTGGGACTCCAGGGGGCACACAGAATCAGCCCTGTTTCCACTCTACCCAACCCTTTCCCACCCAGCACAGGGCCCAGTACCCCAAGGTCCAATACTTGCATGCGGGGCCCATGGATCGTGTTCTGGAAGCAGTACCCAGCTGACCCTGCCACCTGTGGGCAAAAGCAGGTGATGAAGGTGGGTGCCATGGACCCAGTCTTTCTCCTCATCCTGTTTTCCCTCCTCTCCAGATTTGGACCGCACCTTGAACAGCACAGAGGACTTCTTGAGGTGATGTCCACTAATGCCCTGGTCAAAGCAATACCTTTCATCACGGAGCGTAACCTGGAGGTGGGAGGGGAAAGCAGGCGTCAGTAAGCATGCTCAAAGATCCAGGGACAGTTCAAGGAACCATGAGCTTCCGACGGGTCAGCTGTCCCAGCAGATTTGCCTCGACACCTCCTCACCACCTGGTCTCACCTTGAAAAGCACTGAGTTGCGATGAATAAGGTCCTTCGGCGTCACCCTCACCACAATGCAGTTCGGTTCAGTCAGCGCCACGCCCAGGTCCACCTGGCTCCTCAGTTTGAAGACGTGGTCTGCTCCCAGCACAGGAAGGATTAGGGCCTGGAACCAGACCCGCCCCCTGGGTCACCACCACACCGCCCTGCCACTCCTACTCCACTCCTGCCTACAGACCAGAGTCCTCGGACTTGAACGAGTGGCTCTGGGCAGTCAGGAAGATGGAGAAGCTGTAGCTGGTGCCCTTATCCAGGAAGATGCGCTCCGGCAGCTGGTACTCGGCCTTGAGGTCGTAGACCTTTTCGTAGTCGTCCATGTCAATGTGCACGTTACCCGCACTCAGCCAGTTGCTCGCCAGGTAGTTGTAGTAGTCCTGGGGCATGGGAGGAGGGGCAGAGTCAGCGCCCTGAGCGGAACGGTGCGGGGGTGGGAGTAAGGTTCGGGGTTGCCCTTCCCTGGACTAGCAACCCTCCTCACGCACCCGGTCCTGCTGCTTGTTCTTCCACCAGCGCCAGGTGGAGTCGTGCACCGGCTCGGCGTAAGGCTGCAGAGGCCGCCCGCACCGTGAGGCGGGGGCGGCGGGGCGTCCACAGGCAGGTGACATGCCCAGACCCCCTCCCAGCCTCGGTCCCAGCCCCTAACCCAAAGCAAAAGATCATACCCGGCCCTGCCCTGTTTCAGCCCCGTGGCCACAGCCGCAGAGCCCCCACCCCTGTGCCCGCTTTGCCTGATTCAGTTCGAGGCTGCTCCACGCTGTCCCACCCTCCGCAGTTCCGACTCAGCGAGCCCGGGCCGGGACAGCGCCCTGCCACCGGGCGCCCACCTTGTCGTACTTGGAGTGCAGCCAGAGCAGGTAGTAGACGAGGCCCTGATAGACAGCGAGCGAGTTCTCCGTATGGAAGCCCGAGGGCCCCAGGATGTGTGGCGGCTTCGCCCGGTAGCGCTCCTGGCGTGTGTAGATCTGCGGGTTGGGCAGGTCCCACAGGCGCATCGCCGTGAAGGGGCAGGAGTTGGTCAAGAGGAGCTTCAGGTGACTCCTGGGCGAGGGCGGTGGAGGATGGCGGTTTACTTTTCTGCGCCCCGCTCCCCAGGAGCCTCCACTGGCCTGTTTCCCACGGCTGCGCAGCGGGCTGCCCGAATCGCATCCAGCCCTGCCCTTCCTCCTCAGCCTCAGACCCTGGTGCCCCTGGACACATTCCCCTGGTCGTCCCCGGGCCCTTAGACCAGAATCTCGGACCGCATCCTAGACTCTTCTCCCCTTCCTGAGCCGCCCCCCCTTCCTCCACAGGTGGCCAGAAGGATGATGATGATTTTTAATCCTCACCTGAGGATATTTTTCTATCTATCTTTAGATAGAGTGGGAGGTGGGGAGAGAGAGAGAAACATAGATGTGAGAGAGACACATCGATTGGTTGCCTCCTGCACAACCCTGACCAGGGTCGGGAACTGAACCGCAACCCAAGTACATGTCCTTGACCGGAACTGAACCAACAACCTTTTGGTCCATGGACCGATGCTCTAACCACTGAACCACACCGGCCAGGGCCAGAAGGATTATTATTAAACACAGTAAACTCTGATGGGCAGTTCCTCCCCTTCATCCCATCATGGTTCCGCAGGACCCTTAATATGAAGCCAGGTCCTCCCTGCGACCATGGGCTCACCCTGCGGCCCTGCCGCCACCACTGCACTGTACCTGCGTCATACTTTCTCTCAGTTCTCAAACACCCAATATTTCTTCCCAGGGCCTTTGCACACATGGTTCTCCCATCTGGAACACCCTCCTCCATTTCATTACCTGGCCAGTCCTTCCTCACAGGTCACAGCTCATGTGCCTCCTCCTCCTTGAAGCCCTCCCTGATGCTCCCTGCCCCGCAGACTGAGTTAGGCCCTTCCTTTGAGCTTCCATAGGCCCTGACCTCCCCCATCAGAGCCCTGAGGTTGTCAGTGGGGGGTGGGGGCTTTGTGGGGGAGTGTTTGGGGCTCTGGCTACTGCTGTGCTCCATCCAGTCTCTTCTCACTTTTGTTGCAGCAAGTGGTAGTCGCTGCCCGGCTGCTGGTACAACAGAAGCAGCGCCACGGGCACAAGTCTCTTGATGAGCTGGCCTTGCTTGTTGATAACGAGGTACACCAGCTGCAGAGGAAGACAGGGCCAGGTGAGCTGGGGTCAGCCACCCTGCACCCCCGTCTCCCCACAGCCCCTGCCTGGCACCTGGTACAGATTGCTGTTTTCATAGAAGAGGGTAACCATGGTCTCCCCGGAGGCACGGGGAGAGGGCTGGCGCATCACCTGCAGGCTGAAGTACACCTCCCAGCCCCTGGATGGGAACAGCTTGTACACCCGATAGCTGCCTTCCAGGAGGTACCAGATCTGGGGATGCAACAGCCAGATGTGTGTCTTAGGGCCATGGTGACCTCTGACTACCGTCTCCCTCTGCCGAGGGTGATGGCCCCATTCCTTGAGGATTGGAGCTTTGGAGCTCACACCCCTCCTCTCTGTAGTACCCCCTCTCCACTTCCCAGAAGCCACCACCTCTGCCTCTAGCCCCCACCCGTCGTGATACATTTGTCCAGTGTTTCAGTCTCTGTTACTTGCGACTTAAGCATTTCTAATATGGACACAGCCCTAATGGGTCCCTAGGGCTGAGCTCTTTCCTTCCCCTCACTCTCCAGGGCCTCGCCTTCCCATCTCTGCACTGATCCCCACGCTCCTCAGCACGTTCAACTCGGAACCTCACCTCCTCCTGAGCCTCAGCCTCCAGGATGTCCCTCCTCTGTGGGCCTCCTCTGAGGCCCTTCCCGACACACACACCCAGGCTGGGTCAGGCCCCTTCTCTGAATGTCTACGGACTACTCTCAACTGTCACTGTCTGTCTTCCCAACTGGCCGGTCACCCCACAAGGGCAGGACCCAGGGCTCTCAGTTGCCACCGTGTCCCCAGCACGAGGTCAGGCCTCCAGTATTTATGAAAGGAACACCTGCACGAGGAAGTGAAAGGCCCCCTCTGGAAACCAGATCACGTAACTCTGAGCAGAAGTCTTTCACTCGCTCAGGGACTTTGGAAAAGACACGTAGCCTCTTTCAGTTCTGGGGTTCTCAGCTATGAATGGAGCTTTTGCTGCCCTCCCCCCACAGTCCCTGAGGGTGTTCCTTCCCCTTGGCCCCTTTACCCTGGGCTTGGGGTGGGCAGAGGGGCAGTAGGGAGAGGGGCAGGGTTGCCCACCTCCTCAGTTTCTGTGACAATGGCTAGCTCCCCATGGAACGAGTCAACCACGTACTTGATGGACAGCTGACTGGGGAAGTTGGCCAGGTAGATGAAGTGGTCATAACCATAGCTGCAAGGTGGAGATGGAAGCTGGGGGTGCCCAGGCAAGCCCCTGGAGGGGATCTGCTCCCCCTGTTCCGGCCGACACAATGCCAGAGCTCTTTCCTCACTTCGCCACTAGCTTCGTGAGACGGTGAAAAGCAAGCCTGGGATTCTAGCATTTGCTCCTGACTCCAAACCCTCTGGGTGACCTGTCCGTCTGTGAACAGGAGCTTCCGGCTAACCTGGCACATTGCCAGCGGCCCATGGCATTGGCTCAGGGGTCCCTAGTTTCCTGAGGTATGAAAAGTGCCCTGACCTTCCCCAGACAACACCTTCTACTGCTACATCAGTGGGACCTCACATCAGGGCCCCCACAGCCTCCCCCTCCTAGCCCTCAGCATCCAGCCCATGTTTTCCCCATCACAGTCCTCATAACTTCTGGACTTGGGCAAACTGGAGACTTGGTGACTTCAGAATGAGCCCCCACCCTGATGGGGCTGGGGAGGAGGAATATGCCCAGCCCCTACCTCTGCAGGAGGAAGTTGCCCCAGACGAATAGCAGGTTGTTAAATGGGTTGTGGGACATGCCCTTGGGCACCATCGGGACGTTGGTGTAAGACTCTGTCCCGAGGATCATCAGGAACTCCTGGCCTTGAGCTGGCCGGGGCAGAGGCACAGTGGACGTGGCAGTGAGGCAGGGTGACCTGGGCCCCTCCTGGCCCCCACCCACCTTTGAGGCCCCCTCTGCCTTCCCCTCCTACCATCAGGAATGAATTCCGGGATCCTGTAGTGAACGGACACGTATTCGGTGACTACAGGTCAAGAGAACACAGCAAAATCTGAGCTTTCAAAAAACCTGCAACTGGGCAAGTCACCACCTTCTCATTCCATCCAAAAACACCCTCCAATGGCTTCCTGCATGGGCTTCTTGGCCCTTATGAGAAAGATAAAAAGGCAGTGCCTTGGGGAAGAGGTGAGGGCGCAGGACTTCCTCCGCTCCTTGGCCGGGGTCCTCTGCACCCACACCGATTCTCAGCACAGGTCAAATCAAACCAAACCTCTTCACTGGGAGCCACAGACCCTTCTGGAGCTGGCTTCTGCTCGCTTCTTCAGTCCCCTCCCTTCCCCTTCCTGCTCTGTTCCAGTCACTTCGACTTCCTCTGTTTCTCCAGCCCACCAAGCCTGCCTGTGCCCCTTACCCAGGAGTGACACTTCCCTCTGCTGTCCGCTGTGTGATGGAGCCCCACCCCCCCTCCGCCGCGGAGCCCCAATTACCCAGGTTGTAGATGACCACCTGGGAAAACTTCTTGGCAGCGTTATCTTCACTCTCCACCAGCAGCAGCACATCATTGTCATCCCCAGAGTACACAGCCCAGGTTATGGAGCAGGTGGCAGCTGGAAGGGAAGGGGAGGCCCAGAGCAGTCCCCGCACCCGGCTCCTCTCCGTCACCTCCTCCCTGACTGCCACAGCCATCCCACCTCTGGAACTCTCCCCCTCTCCCCAGGACACGGCCGTCCTTTCCCTTCCCCATGACCTCTCCCACCCTGCCCTACTCCCCTCCACCCTACCCACCGCAAACCCCTCTGGGAGATGGGTACCTCTTATCTCTTGGCACACGGACCACAGCCTGGGCAGCATCTCAAAGGAAACACGGCCATCTGTAGAGCAGGGCAGGTCCATGCTCAAGCCCTTCCCATGCTCAGCCCAACAGGCACCCTGCCCCAGCGCAGTGCCGGTGCCCACTCCGTCCTGGGGCCTCTGGATTCCAGGGGCAGGTCTCACCCCCTGGCCGTTCAGTCACTCACACCTGGCCTATCAGAGTACGTCTGCCTCTGGTCTCAGTGACTGGCTCAGGTCCAGGCACAGGGCTAGAACTGGCTGACCGGAGTGGACCCTAGGACTCCTGCTGGAGCGAGTGGGGAAGAGGCTGCTCTTACTCTCCTGGGGCGATTCAAGATGGTGGGAGAAGATCCTCAAGCTCCTGGGAGCCCTCCTTCCCCCATCGAGAGGAGTGTCTACTCGTACACAAAGCTAAATCACAGGGCTCACAATAATAAACCCTTTTCTAGCACTGTTCTAAGACCTTTACAGATGCCAACTTATTTCATCTTTATAGCAGATACTAGTAGTAGTATCATTAGCCCCATTTTTCTGATGAAATGAGGCCAAAAAGAGAGGGTAAGTCACCTGTCCAAAAACACAGGTGACTTGGGTTGGAAGTGTTGGAGCGGTGTCTCTCTAGACCTGTGCCTTAATCACTATGCTATACTACCTTACCAAGAGATAGACAGAGTCTTGATAATATACCCTGTGAACCCCTGGATCCAGCCATGCCTGAAGTTGACATTCTGTCTTTTCAATTATAAGTCCTCAAATTCTTTATGCCTAAGTGATTTTTGAACTGGACTTCTTCTGCCATTTGAAACCAAACATAAAATGCAAGAGACATAAGATCCCAGGCACTATCCCCACAAATGCCTAAACCCACCCCCATTCATAGGGCCAACCTCCAGCTAGGGACCCCTTCTAAAGGCACATGGTAAAGGATAAGAGCCCAAGGTCAGAATTCTTGGAGGTAAGAGGGCAAGGAGGAGTCCTGTCTGGTTAGACAGGACTGAGCAGTGGTTAGAGCGTCGGCCCTCAGACCAAAGAGTCACAGATTTGGTTCCAATCAAGGGCACATACCTCGGTTGTGGTTCAGTCCCAGCCCTGGTTGGGGGTTGTGCAGGAGGCAACCAGTTGCTATGTCTCTCTTACATGGATGTTTCTCTCTCTCTCTCTCTCCCACTTTGTCTGAAGATAAATGGAAAAATATCCTCGGGGATTTCAAAAAAAAAAGAAGGCATGAAGGCCTGGCTTATGTGGTTCAGTGGTTGAGCATCAACCCCTGCACCAAGAGGTCACCGGTTCGATTACTAGTCAGGGCACATGCCCAGGTTGTGGGCCTGATCCCCAGTGGAGGGCATGCAGGAGGTGGCCATCGATGTTCTCTCTCATCAATGTTTACATCTCTCTCTCCACCTTCCTCTCTCTCTAAAATCAATAAAGAGAAAAAATTTTTTTTAAAAAGAAGTCATGGAGGAGTCTCTTGGGCTGCCAGAGGCCCCCACCCTTACCTGTGATGGTCCCAAAGTGGATGTAACCTTCATGCTTCCCAATGGTGAGGGCCAAGATGTACTCGGAGCTATTGCTATGAAGATGCACGGGGCACAGCCTCTTGATGCACTCGTTGGGCAGCACACGAACCCAGTTCTCTGCAGGGACCAGCATGGGGCGTCAGGCCCAGGCGTTCGAACCTGGGCTCCCCGTCCACATTTTCCTGGCCTTAGTGAGCCTGTTGTCATCCTCTCTCCCTGGAGCAGCTGCTCAGTGTGGTGACCAAGGGAGTCCTGGCATAGGGTCTCAGCTGTCTTTGAGAAAATCCTCCCGGCTCACCTTCTCTCCATGAGGCTCAGATTGGGCTTGACCCCACCCTTGCATTCCCCTGGCCAGAACAATTGGTTCTGAGCTGGACGTGTGACCAAGCAGGGCAACTCAGAGAGTCCCAGCTTGCAACTACTAGCAAAGAAATGCTCTTTCTTGGGGGCCCTGAGGATATAAAAGTCTGTAATTGCTGGGTGAATGGGGAGTCACCATGGTCACTACAGGACAGAGAGCTACAGTGAGTCCCTGGATCCAGCTATGCCTGAAACCAATATATTCCTGATTGTTGTTTTTCTAGCTATCTAAGTCAAAAAGCAACCCCCTCTTTTGGGCTTGAGCTCATTTTTAATTTGGTTCCTCCCACTGGCAAAGTGCCCTAAGAAAGAGAAAAATGAGTTGTTGATGCCCGGCCGGTGTGGCTCAGTGGTTGAGTGTCGACCCATGCACCAAGAGGTTACCAGTTCAATTCCCAGTCAGGGCACATGCGCAGGTTGTGGGCTAAATCCCCAGTGGGGGGCATGCAGGAGGCAGCCAACTGATGCTCTCTCTCATCAATGTTTCTCTCTCCCTCTTCCTTCCTCTATAAATAAATAAATAAATAAATAAATAAATAAATATTTTGTAAAAAATGAGCTGTTGAGAACATGCATTAAGTAAAGAAAAACATAGGTGACAAGTTTCTGTGACCCTGTAAGTCCAAGTGACCCTATGCCTAAATGATATGTCTCATTTGGATTGGGGGAAAACCTAGAACTAGGAGAGCTTTGGTATCATTTAAATGATGAGGCTGAATCCAAAGTCCTCTCTAATCAGTCTCCTTTGTGGCTTTGCCTGTCTCTGTCTCCTGTTTTTCTCTTACCCCATGCCTCTCCCCCCCCACCCTCAATTCCCCTCTTAGTATGTCTCTATGCCTCTCTATTTCTTTGTTGTTGTTGTTGTTCAGATAGAGTGGGAGGGAGAGAGAGGAAGGAGAGAGAGAGAGAAACATCGACGTGAAAGGGACACATCGAGTGGCTGCCACCCGTACGACCAACCAGGGCCGGGGACAAACTGCAACCAAGGTACGTGCCCTTAGCGGGAACCAAACCAGGTCTCTCTGGACCGCAGGCTGACGCTCTAACTGCTGAGCCAAACCGGCCAGGGGAGTACGCCTCTCTAAATATGGTTTTCTCTGTCTTTCTGATGCTATGTGTGTGTGGTTGTGTGTGTGTGTGTGTGTGATTGTGTATGTGTGTGTGGTTGTATGTGTGCGTGTGTGTGGTTGTGTGTGTGCGTGTGCGATTGTGTATATGTGTATGTGATGTGAGTGTGTGTGTGTGGTTGTGTGCATGCTCATGCTCATGTGTATCAGTGTGTGTCTCTCTCTCTGCTCCCTCCCTTCACTCTCAACCTCTCTCTTCCCTCAGCTGGATTCACAGTTCCTGGGAAGGTCAGGATGAAGGCCCCACCCCAGCAGAGAGAGTGGGAAAAGGCCCTCCAGGATGGGCAGGGTGATCAGGACCTTAGAAAGTCCCTTCAACACCCCCTCCCCACCCACAGCAATTCCAGCCCCAGGTACCACAGTGGATGAGTTCACTCAAGCGACTCCCGAGGCTCCACCAGGCAGTTCCCTTGTCCAAGATGCACAGACCCCTAGGCACGTGCCCAGCCGCACCCCTCACCGCTGCCATGGCCGCTCCCGTGGAGTGTGAGGTAGGTGCCTGTAATGTAGTACACGAGCTGGTTCTGCCGGATGAAGAGCATGCTCTCGGTGGCGATGGCGTCTAAGATGGTGGCAGTGAAGCCGGTCTGGGGGCAGTAGAAGGAGCCTACCCAGCAACTGTCAATGCTCAACTGCAGAGGAGCACAGCCACTGGTGAGCAGGTGGCCCTGGCCGCAGCCCCCGTCCTGCCTTGGGGGAGGCTCCTGCTCTGGTCACTGCTGGGGATGGACACATGCAGCTGCCCCCAGGGGGCCCCCTGCTCATCTTGCAGCAGCACCTCAGTGGCCAAACTTCCCCAACATGTCAAGGGAAGCAAGTGACCCAGGTAGGAGCCTGGGGCTTTGCGTGTTCCCTAAATCTGAACTGTGCACAGCCTGCTTGATGGCTATACCCACATGGATCCCAAAGATGCCATGCTTGGCCCAGGGCGCATATTTACTAATCCGATTCGAACTTGAACACAGTTGGCTGTTAGGCTGACGCCATCTGCACTTACTGACTGATGACTAACACTGACAATGTCACCAACAGTGGGAAAGCACCACCAAGGAAGGGTTCTTGCCTAAAAGATTGAACCTACATGTGACTGGGTTTTGGGAGCACTACCTCAATCCACTGAGATTTTGCTTCCCGGCAACTGTCGATAATTTGGCTCAAATAAACTCACAAGAATTCTCCAATAAATAAATAAATTTAATCAAGTTTCTAGAGCTCACCACCAGTTCATTGGCAATATGGGGTGTTATGGACTGTGTTCCCCTCCCCAACTTATATGTTGAAGCCCTAACCCCTCAATGTGACTGTATTTGGAGATAGGACCGTTAAGGAGATCATTAGAGGTAATCAAGGTTGGGTCATAATCCTATTATATGGGTAATCTTTTTTTTTTTTCCCCTTATTGGTTTTTAGTGAGAGAAAAAGGGACAGGAAGAGAGATAGAAACATCAATGAAAGAGAATCTTAACTGGCTACCTCCTGCACGCGCCCCCCCCCCCCCCACTGGGGATCAGGCCCACAACTGGGTGTGTGCCCTGACTGGGAATCGAACTGGTGACCTCTTGGTGCATGGGTCAGTGCTCATCCACTGAGCCACACTGGCTGGGCTAGACTGATGTTCTTATAAGAGGATGGGACACCAGAGATCTCTCTCTCCACTGTGCACCCAGAGAAAAGGCCCCGTGAGGACACAGAGGACACTTTCTGCACACCATGGAGAGAGGGCTCACTAGAAACCAGCCCTGCTGACGCCGTGATCCTGGACTTCCAGCCTCCAGAACTGTGAGAATATGAATTTCTGTTGTTTAAGCCACTCGGTCCATGGCGCCTTATTATGGCCTCCCAAGCCTGAGAAAATGCAGCCTCTGTAGTTCCAGGGAACAGAGCTGTTTTGAGCATAAAATCAATGCAGAGGAACTAGGTCTAAGAGATGGAATGAAACTCAGCTTTGGTGACATTGTTTGAAATCCTGGGTCAAGCTGGACCCGAAGTCCTGAATATTTCCTTTACATGAACCAACACTGTTTCTCTTCCATTTTTGGCAGATGGCCAGTTACCCCCAATCCATTCCCCTACACATTCTTTGTTAACTGAGTTTTAGTAGGGCACGCGCCACCCAGGTAAACATTATATTTTCCAGCCTCCCTTGCACTTGTGTTAGATAGGACAAGGGTCTCAAGGTCTGGTTCTTACTAAATGTTAAAATGTGACCCAGTATTTTGCAGACCAGCTGAATGCAGGATGAGCTTGACTGGAACCTAACCAGATATGTGTAGCCAACTGCCAAGAAAAAAGTGACAGGTAAATGACCAAATCAAATAATGTGTATAAGCAGTGGCTAAGCCTCTCTTCAGGAAGACAGAGCTTTGGCTTTGAACCCCCCGTCTCCTTTAGTTGACGCAAGTAAATAAAACCACCTTGCTACAATCATGTCCTGTTCTTCAATAGAACACGTCAAGCAGCGGACCCCTTGAATTAGGGCACAGTTGGAGGTAGCCAACTGACTAAGTCCTCACTAACAGAATGCGAGTGGAAGTGAAACTTGCTTAAAAGAAAACAGCTTGCTCTCTGCTCCTTCCTCTTCCCCGTTCCCTTCCCCCTGGGCTGGAATACGTGGGGAGGACCCCCGCTCCATCATACAGATGAGATCAGCCGGGGCCCAGGGGATGAGGCAGGAAGAACAGGGAAGGGGCGTGGCTTTCTCACTTCGGGATTGTGATGAGAACCAGCAGTAGCATCTGTTTAAGCTACTCCCTCCCTGGTCTCTTTGTCACAATATCTAAACCTGACCAATACATTGCCGACAAGAGCAGCACAGAGGGTAATCCGAGGGGCAGTCTGGAAAGGTGTGGGGAGGTGAAACAGGAGGAAGAAAAGGAGAGGAGACAGCACCGTGGGAGAAACCCCATGAGGACAGAATGAGAATAAACTGGCTTTCATTTTGGAGTGATGGAAAAGTTTTGGAACCAAACAGAAGCGGCGATTGCACAATATGAATGTATGAAATGTCACTAAATTGTTCACTTTGAAGTGGTGAATTTTACTTTTTTTTTTATCCTCACCCGAGGACATTTTTCCATTTTTTGTACAGATAGAGTGGGAGGGAGAGAAAGGAAGATAGAGAGAGAGAGAGAGAGACATCGACGTGAAAGGGTCACATCGAGTGGCTGCCACCCGCACAACCAACCAGGGCCAGGGACAAACTGCAACTGAGGTACGTGCCCTTAGCGGGAACCGAACCCGGGTCTCTCCGGACCGCAGGCCGACGCTCTAACTGCTGAGCCAAACTGGCCAGGGCTACGATACATTTTTTGAAAACAGTAACAAGGATGCCTGACGTTAGAATTGAACTCCACTCCTGTGACGTAAACCCCCTTCTCCGCCCTCCAAATCCCTTCCGCAGAATCCGTGTCAACTACATGTCCCGTGTGGGTCTTGGCTGCAGGAGTAAGGAAACAGCAACGGCTGGAAGACTTGGCCCAGAGGGCAGAAAGCTCACGGGACAGGGAGATGGTCTACAAACTGAACGCATTCGGTCAAGCAGGAATTCAGAGCCAGAGGGGAGCGGGACATTCATCTGCACAGGCTTCTCAGAAGTCGCGGGTGGGGCTTTCGGCTTTGATGGAAAGAGGCTGAGGCAACCTCTTGGGGTCGCTGTGGAGCACAACTGTTACCTTGGCCACCATTAACCACCAGCATCTTTTCCCATGATCTTGTGGCAAAGCCACCCTGATTTCAAGCTGGGGAGCCCTTCCTTCTCTGCCTCTCGTCTCAGCTGCCCTTCTCATAAGGATGGAGATGGTGGCTGGTGCTAAGCCAGGTGAAATATTCCAGCATTTTGGGACACATGACCCAAACCGGACCGATCAGGGCCAAGGATTTTTTAAAATGCTCTTTAGGCCCTGGCGGGTTTGGCTCAGCAGTTAGAGAGTCGGGGGGGGGGGGGGGGGGGGGCAACCAGTCAATGTGGCTCTATCACATTGATGTTTCTCTCTGTCTCTCTTCCTCCCTCCCATTCTATCTGATAATAAGTAGAAAAATACCCATGGGTGAGGAATTAAAAAAAAAAATCCAGAAGAAATGGAGCAGAAAACTGGAGTCCTTATCTGAGGCCCCAAGTCAAGTCAGGCCTGCAGCCTGCTCTGTGTCTGGGCTTTGCAATTCCGTGTACCTACTAAATCCACTCCTCTGCTTAAAGCAAACTGGGTTGGAGCTCTCAAACGTGTCTGTCATTCACACCAAAAGATCCCTGCTTCAGATACTTCTTCCCCATCCTGGGAATACTACAGGCTCACAAAGCCAAATTAAAAACCCTTGGGGCCAGATGTATATGGTGACTCCGAATTTCCAGCCCTTAGAAGGCAGTATGGCACATATACAGCATTCATATGTAAACCAGTAGGGCCCGGGGCAGCACCCTGTGATCAAACACCTTGAGATTTCTTCAGGGCAGAATCGGAATGTTAACACTAAACAGGATGCACAAAGATCAAGTAGCCTTTTAGCTTGGGTCAGTATTTCTTGACAAATGAATTTGAGCCCTAAATTTGTGAAAATGCCATTTTCAAAGCTTTTTGGATTTCAGAATTACAAATGATGGGCCTAGAAGTAACAATGCCTTCACTCACATAGTGCTCACTCTGGGTCCAGCTGATAGTAACTGATTTCATCCTCACACTGATTTTATGAGGGAAATATAAATATTATTCCCATTTTACAGAAGGGAAATCTGAGGCCCAGTGGGTGAAGTAACATGCCCAAGGTCACACAGCCAGGAGGTGGCAGAACCAGGATTTGAAGCCCGGCTGTCTGGCTGCAGAGTCTTATGTCCCTCCTTCATGCTATCTGCCTCTTGTGGGGATGGGGATGTCTTTGGGGAACCCCTCCATAGCCCCAGGCCACAACCCATTTTATGGGCTAAGGCCCAGCACCCTTCAAGCGGCCCCAGTCCTGGCCCCAGTCCTCGGTCTGCCTGGTACCTCTCACCTCCACGATAGAAAAGTCCTTGAAGCTGGTGTCAGTCAGCAGAATGGACTTCTCCTCAGGAATTCCTCCCAGGATGAGCACAGGTGCCTGGTCTACAGTGTACCACAGGGGCCTCGACGGGACATTCACAAATTTCACAGGTATCAGGTTGAAGAGCTGCGGGGGAGGGGCAGAAGGGCTGCTCAACACCCCACACCTCCCCATGGCTCCATCTCATTTACAGCAAAGCCAAAGTCCTTTCCCTGACCCACAAGGCCCCACAGATTTGTCCCTCACACCTCTCCGACCTCTTCCCCCCACACTCATCCTCTTGCTCACTCTCTCCCAGGCCCTGGGCCTCCTCGCTGCTTCTCTGACTGCCCAGGCACTTCCTCGTCTCAGAACCTTTGCACTGGCTGTTCCCCTGCATGCAATGCTCTTCCCCTAGGATCCGTGAGATTCCCTCCTCTCCTCCTTCAAGGCTTCACTCAGCTGTCAACCTTCTCCATTCTGCCTTCCTTGACCATCCATCAAACACTGCAGTCCCCTCCTGCACAGACCCAACCCGCACTCCCTCTGAATGCTATCCAGAGCACTTCCCACTTTTTACCCAGTAAGGAATTGACTTGATTTTACATTTACTGGTTTGCTGTCTGTCTCTCCCTCTAGAGCAGTGGTTCTCAACCTGTGGGTCGTGACCCCTTTGGGGGTCAAATGACCCTTTCACAGGGGTCGTCTAAGATATAACAGTAGCAAAATTACAATTATGAAGTAGCAACAAAAATAATTTTATGGTTGGGGTCACCACAACAGGAACTGTATTAAAGGGTCATGACATTAGGGAGGTTGAGAACCACTGCTCTAGAGGGTCAGTTCTAAGGGTTCAGGAACTTGGGTCAGTGTGTTCACTGTTTTGTTCCCATGGGGCCACCCTGTGTGCTCAGTAAGTGCCTGCAGAATGAATGAATGAATGCACCGTGATTAAGAATATGGGTGCAGCCCGACTGGTGTGGCTCAGTGGTTGAGCGTCAACCCATGCACCAAGAGGTCGCCGGTTCGATTCCTGGTCAGGGCACATGCCCAGGTTGTGGGCCCCATCCCCAGTGGGGGGCATGCAGGAGGCGGCCAATCAATGTTCTCTCTCATTGATGTTTCTCTCTCTCTCCCTCTCCCTGCCTCTCTCTCTAAAATCAATAAAGAAAAAAAGGAATATGGGTGCAGGAGTCAGGCAGACACAGTTTCAACTCTTGTTCCATGTGTACATGCTGAGAGACTGTGGACAAACGGTTTCACCCCTTTGGGGCCTCAGTTTTCTCCTCTGTAAAATGGGTGTGTAAGAACACCTTCCCTCTTGGGGTCAGCATGCCTGTGCATTTCGTAGAGCACTTCACCCACGGCCTGGCACAAAGTAAGCACTGAGTGGAGCCTGCCACTTGTGTGGGAAGGAATCAGCCCCGGCTCACTGTCTTCCACCCATGTCTCCTACCGCTCCCACTGTGCGGGACCCCTTACCTCATTTCCCACAGTGAACTCGAGTGTGTTGTCTTGCTGTCTCTTCAGGAAGCCATTGATGTTCATCTGAAACCTGGCAGTGGGTGTGGGGCAGGCACAGGCGAGAGTTCGGCTTCAGGGGCTCCTGCCATGGCCCACAGCCACCTCCCCACCTTAGTCCCTCCCACTGGACTCCTCCTGGCTTCTTTGGGAATCTGGAGATAAGGAAGTCCCTCCCGGAGTCTACCCCTGACCCTGGATGTGGGGAAGGGCACCTTGCATTGGGGATGAAGGGCCCCAGGCCATTGCTGCTGACATCCACATACATGACCACGCTGCCATTCTTGATGGGCATGGGCGTGTACCAGCTCATGACACACACCTCCTCTGCGCTGCACGGCTCTGCTGGTAGGCAGCGGGCACTGAGGCTGCTGGGATCTCCCTGCAACTCCTCATGTCCTGCTCTAGGCCATGAACCCCACTGGGGCCTTTGTGGAACCCCATCCAGGCCATGAAACCCGCTGGGGCCTCCTCCCCAAACCCTCCTCCATGTCACAGACCCCACTGAGGGCCCCCAAGAAGCCCCGCATTCCCACAAGGTCATGGACCTCTCTGAGGCCCCCAGGAATCCACCCACTCGCTCCTGCCAGGCTCACGTCCTCTCCAGACCCCCTCAGGCCCACCTTTGCTGCGGAAGGGGACAGCCTCCATCTGGATCTGCAGCTGCTCTAACTTCCAGTGATTGAAGTTAACTGGGGACTGGAAGGTGACCAGCACCACAGGCTTCAGCCCCGTCAGGTGTCCCTTGCGGACCAGAGCCTCGGAGGACTGAGGGTGAGATAGCCCCACAGGTGTGACCTTAAGATAACCTCTGGGCCCCCACTGCCCTGACCCCACCTTTAGTACCCTCTCTTCCTGGGCTGGGTAGGGAGAACAGACTCTCCACCACGGGAAGGCCAGAGAATATGGTCTAGGTGGAGCTGGGGTGGGGGACAGGCCAGGCTAGGAGAGGGGCCAAGGGGCTAGGAACTATGAAGGGAGTCAGGAGGTCTTCCTGGAGGAGGTGAGTCCAGGTCCCACGTCTTCAGACAGAATTTGAATGTAGGAAATACACAGAGAAGGGCAGCATGGGAGAAGCAAAATCGTGATGGTGTGAATGGACGGCACCCAGAACGACTAGTGGCCTCCTCTCTCCAGAGATTCCCAGGCCCCCTCGAGGTTTGCATTTTCCCTGCAGAAATGACACTCTGCCACACACAGCAGTCAGAAGACAGCCAGGTTCGGGGGCTGGGACCTGGGGTAAAGGTGAGATGGGACAGTGGACAGAAAGGACTGGGGAAGAGGGTGAGGGGGCAGCCGGGGACAACCTCCCAGAGATGCCAGGATCCTGGCTGGGCTGAGAAGGGCAGGCAGGGCGTAGGGTGGAGATGGAAGGAGGGAAGAAGGGTGCCCCGTGTATGAAACAAGCATAGGCAAAGGGTTGGATGGATCCCCAAGAAAAGGCTGCACTCAGGCTGCTGCGGGGGGGGGGGGGTTTGCAGTGGGGGCAGGGGGGCTTCGAGACCAGGGTGAGACACTGGGTCTAAGCACCGTTGCACAGGCTTTCATCCTGAGGAATGCTTCAGCCACAACCCTTTCTTTTTTTTTTCTTTCTTTTGTTAATCCTCACCCAAGGATATTTTTTTACATTGAGTTTTAGAGAGAACGGAAGGGAAAAGGAGAGAGAGAAACATCCGTGTGAGAGAGACACATCTATTGGCTGCCTCCTGCATTAGCCCTGACCAGGGCCAGGGATCAAACCTGCAACCCAGGTATGAGCTCTTGACCGGGAATCGAACCCACGACCCTTTGGTGCACAGGCCAATGCTCTAACCACTGACCCACACCGGCCAGGGCCAGCCAGGACCCTTTTGATCCTGCCGAATATACCTGTCGCAGCCAAATCACCTGTGGTTTCCAATCACAGAGTAGAGGTGCTGGTGGAGCAAGGAGCTCCTCCCTGTCAGGGCAACAGCGGCCACAACCACCCTGGTTCTGTCAACCCTCAAGTCCTGCCTGGACCATGCATCAGTGGCCTCCTTGGGGTCCCTGCTCCCATCCCCACAACAGTCTGCTTCCCTCACACAGCAGGAGGAAGCCTGTGAACACCTGAGTCAGATCATGTCCGTCCTCTGCTCAGAACCCTCTCATGGCTCCGTCTCACTCAGAGTGAAAGCCAAGTTCTCACTAGGGTTCATGGGGCCCTAGTCACCTCCCTGACCTATCCCCTCCCACTGTCCCTGCACTCCCTCTGCCCCAGCCACACGGGGCTCTTTGAGGTCGTCACTCACACTGGCTTCTTTCCTCCTTCGGGGCCTTTGCGCTGGCTGTTCCCTTGGCCTGGAATGCCCTACCCTGTTCTCATCGCCATCCCTTCTCATCATTCCAGTCTCTGCTCAAGCCTCTTCAGAGAGACCTTCCCCTACCACTCAGCTAACCCTCCTTTCTGACACAGCACCTCATTTTCTTTTCTTTGCATGGATTCCTCTTCATAAACTTTTGTATGTTATGTTGATTCCCTGGTGGGCTGAATCCGTAAGAAAAACCTGGCTGTGTTGTTCATCATGGTACCCCACCCCATTGTAAAAGAAAGAGAATCTGACCCATAGTAGGTGTTGTATGAACAAATAAAGGTATTATTACCACACTTGTACAGATAAGGAGAGAAGGTTCATGGGCTGCGGATCAAACCTGCAACCCTGGTATGTGCCCTGTCGGGGCCATTCAGGAGGCAATTGATCCATGTGTCTTTCTCACATGGATGTCTCTCTCTCTCTCTCTCTCTCTCTCTCTCTCTCTCTCCTTCCCTCCCTCCCTTCCACTCTCTCTAAAAATCAACAGAGAAATATCCTCAGGTGAGGATTAACAACAACAACAACAAAAACCCACGATGAGATACCATTTCACACACACTAGGATGGCTACAATAAAAAAGATGGACAATGACTCTAGACACTTGCTGGCATTCACTGAGCCGGTTCTGTGAACCAGACACCGTGCTAAGTGCTTCACATGTATTTAATCATTTTACAAAAGGGGGCGTGATCATTGCCTCATCCTTGTTGAGGAGGAGGAGACTTTGGTACAGAGAAGTTGAGTAACTTGCTTTAGATGACAGCTATTATGGTATGGCATCTGAACCAGGCAGCCTGGCTCTAAGAGTTAATGACAATGCTATACTTCCTCCAAGTAAATGTTAATCAATGACAGATTCAAACCAGGTCTGCACTTCACTTCTAGACCACAACATCCCATTGTCTTCAAAAGCTTACTTGAGTCAAAACAGTCTTGAAAAAGAACAAAGTTTGAGGACTCAAACTTCCTGATTTGAAAACTTACTACAAAGCTACAGTAATCAAGACTGTGTGGTAGCAGCATATGGATAGACATATAGATCAATGGAATAGAATTATACCCAGAAATAAACCCTTACCTTTATGGTCAATTGATTTTTGACAAGGGTGCCAAGACATTTAAATGGGGTAAAGAATGATATTTTTAACAAATGGTACTGGAATAACTGGGAATTTACACGTCAAAGTTGGACCCCTACCTCACATCATACACAAACATTAATTTAAAATGTTTTGAAGACCTAAATGTAAAAGCTAAAACTAAAAGCTCTCATAAAACAAACAAACAAAACATAGGAATAAGTCTTCATGACCTCTAGTTAGGCAAAGCCTTCTTAGACAATACCAAAAGCACAAGAAGTAAAACCCCAAAATTTGATAAATTGGACTTCATTGGAATTTAGAACTTAGCTGCTATTTTTGTTGTTAATTTTCACCTGAGGATATTTTTTCCACTAGGATGGCTACAATAAAAAAGATGGACAATGACAAGTGTTGGTGAGGATGAAGAGAAGCAGGAACCCTCATAGACTGGAATGTAAAATAGTACAGCTGCTTTGGAAAACAATCTGGCAGTTCCTCAGAAATGAAACAGAGTTAACATATAAATAATCAATTCCATTCCTATGTATATACCAAAGAACTGAAAACATGTTTACACAAAAACCTGTACACAAATGTTCAGAGCAGCATTATTCATGACAGACCCCCCCCCCCCCCCCAAAAAAAAAGTAGAAATAGCCCAAATGTCCATATCCATTAATGAATGGATAAACAAAATGTAACATATCCAGCCCTGGCCAGTTTGGCTCCGTGGTTAGAGCGTCCGCCCACGGACCAATGAGTTGCAGGTTCAATTCTGGTCAAGGGCACATGCCTAGGATGCAGTTTGTCCCTGGCCCTGGTCAGGGTCATGTGGGAGGAAACCAATTGATGTGTCCCTCTCACTTTGATATTTCTTTCTCTCTCTCTCTCTCTCTCTCTCTCTCTCTCCCTCTCTCTCTCTCTCTCCCCCCTTTCTCCCTCTCCCTTTCTCTCTCTCTCTCCCTCCTTACCTCCTTCCCACTCTATCTGAAGATAAATAGAAAATTATCCTTGGGAAAAAAATATATATATATATACTTGGGTGAAGATTAAAAAAAAAAAGTAACACATCTATACAGTCGAATATTATTCAGCCATAAAAAGGAAGTCCTGATAGATGCTATAACATGGATGGGCCTTGAAAACATGCTAAGTGAAAGAAGCCAGACACAAAAGGCTACATACTGTATGATTCCATTCATATGAAATATCTAAAATAAGCAAATTCATAGGGACAGAATGTAGATTAGTGGTCTCCAGGGTCTGGAAGGGTAGGGGTACAGGGTTTCTTTTTGAGGTGATGAAGATATTCTGGAATTGGATAGTGGTGATGGTTGCACAATTTTGTGAATACACTAAAACTATTGAATTGTATACTTTTTTTTTATCCTCACCTGAGGACATTTTTCGATATTTTGTTCAGATAGAGTGGGGGGGGGGGGAGAGAAACATCTACGTGAAAGGGACACATCGAGTGGTTGCCACCCACACGACCCAACCAGGGCCTGGGACAAACTGCAACCGAGGTTCGCACCCTTAGCAGGAACCAAATCCGGGTGTCGCTGGACCGCAGGCCGACGCTCTAACCGCTGAGTCAAACCGGCCAGGGCTGAATTGTATACTTTAAACGATGAATTTTATGGTATGTGAATTATATCTTAATTTTTTTATACGGCAAAAAATACATAAAAAATTTACTTGAGTACCTACTATGTGCTTGATGGGGCACTAGCATTTTTGTGAATCTTTAAGGGCCCCCAGGGTTTGGTGGTGTCAGAACCATTAAAATGTTAGAGATGGGGAAACTGAGGTTCACACAGAATGAGCCCCCTGCAGCTGCACGAACTCACCTCTCCCTTGCAAGAGTAGTTGATCTTCAGGTAGTAAGGGAAGCCCAGGTATTTCTGCAAGGAGAGGATGGGCAAATGTCCAGAGCCCAGTGGGGTGCAGGTCCAGGACCTCTCCCGTTAGCCTGACCCCAGTCCCCTCACCTCGTCCGGGTCGATGGGCGCATCCACCAGAAGGTGGAACACGCTGCCCACTGTGTCCACGGGCTCTTGATCAAAGAAGCGGTCACTCCCTTCGTTATTGCCTATCATCTTAAACTTGTTCAGGACAACCTGCCAGGCGCACTCCTGGGTATTCTTGACAGCCCACATCCTCCACGGTGACAATAGCACCACCAGCAGTGACCACAGCATCCACAAGACTCGGGGTCTAGGCCACTCTGGGCCAGCAGGGCTCATCACGGGGCAGCGCACAGCGTAGCTCGAATCTGGAGAATGCAGGGATTAAGACTGCTCCGGGGCCGCCTTCTGAGATCCCGTCTTTATCCTGTGCTTCGCTCAGCTCTTGCGCTTGGCCCGCACCTGCACTGAGCCTCGCCTCTGCTAGGACTTCTGGCCCCGCCCCTGCTATTGCTCTGGCCTCCGCGTCTGCTTCAGACCTCGCTCAAGTCCCAAGTCCTGCAACTGCCAGCACGCGAGATCCCACCTCTATTACTCCAGGTCCCGCCCCAACTGTCGCTCCTGATCCTTGTTTTGCTCCGTCTCCTCCTCTCGCCCCTGAACCTTGCCCCATCCTTGTTCTTTGCTCTGCGCTTGCTCTGCATCCCTACCCTACTCTTCACCTAGTCTCGGCATCTGTTTCTCGCCTTGGCTGCGTCCCACCGATTTTCCCCAGTCCTGCTACTCCCGCTGATCCCGTACCTGCACCTGCACCTGCACCTCGCCCCGCCCCCACGTCTTGCCGCGCCTGCCCACTTCTCTTCGCACCGCCCCTTTCTCCTTGTTTGGGTCTTGCCTGCCTACCGGATCCAGTATCTAGCCCCGCCCCTCTCGCGGCCTGGGACCTTCTCCACACGCCCCGCCTTGACAAGCTGTTCCGGAGCCTGCTCCTCGCCCCGCCCCCGTCAGTGGCCCGCCCCCTCAGCGGCCCGCCCCCTCAGTGGCCCGCCCCCTCAGCGGCCCGCCCCCTCAGTGGCCCGCCCCCTCAGCGGCCCGCCCCCTCAGTGGCCCCGCCCCGTCGGACTCTGCCTTCGCCCTCTCCGCGCTGCCCCTCTCCGTGTTCCCTGGTGGCACCTTCTCGATCTTCACACGCTGAACCGCGACACCTTTCGTCCCACCCCCCTCTCCTCACCACCCCTTTCCAAGCCCTGGACTACAATGGGCTCTACGCCCGCCGCTACTCGTCACACCTCTTAGTCCCGCCGCGCTTCTCGCCCCGCTCTGCCCCCCGCCGCCCGGTCCTTCCTCTCTGCTCCCTTTCCCTGCCTCTCCTCCTCCCCCGCTCCTTCGCCCGCGTTCCTCCCTGGGACGGCACCAGAAACCTCGCTTTCCCCCGGCCCGCGGTACCAGTCACTTGGGTAAAACCGGCCAACCGTCCCTCAGCCGCTAGGGTCCCGCCCCACTTTTGCCCGGTCTCAAAATGGCCGCCCGCACTTCCACAGCCGACTTCTGCCCCCTCGCGGCCGCCGGCCGGTCTCCGCCGCCACGCGCAGCCTCACGGGCTCCTAGGGCTTCGCGGCGATAGGAGGCGGACGCTCGACACCCAGGCGCGCCGGGCTTGTCCAGCAGGGGGTGCTGGAGGCAAAGTGTGTGGTACCTGCGCGTGCTTCTACCCAAGGGGGCTTTTATGTAAAAAATTCCACACCGAACGAAAAAGTTTGGCCTCCTTGTGGGAATGAATCCGACTGCAGCTTAACGCTCTTTACAAGACAGGGACAAAGCAGCCATCGTGTGGAGTTATTGTGGGAAGTCAATAAGGGAACACGTGAGTGCCTGGCACAAATAGGGACTCAGACCATGACTTTTTAAAATCTTCACACTAGGAGATATAGAGATAGAGATAGAGATAGAGATAGAGATAGAGATAGAGATAGAGATATATAATTTATAATTATATTTATATTTATACACACACATACCTGTGTGTATGTGATATATATATATATACATATATACACGAATATATATGTATACGCATATATATATATACTTTTTTTAGACAGGAAGAGAGAGAGAGAGAGAAACATGGATCTGGTGCCGCCCTTACACGCTGCCACCAAGAGGCAAACCCAACCTAGGTATGTGCCCTGACCTGAATCTCATGAGCCTGCAACCTTTCTGCTGTTCCGGAGGACGCTCCAACCAACTGAGCCACCTGGCCAGGGCAGACCATGACTTGATGAACTGCAAAGCTGACTTTTCACTAAACCCATAGTTTTCCAACTTTAGTGTGTATTAGGCTTGCCAGAAGAGCTTGTTAAAACAGGTTGTTGGGATCCACCACCAGAGTTTTTGACTCATTAGATCTAAGGAAGGGCTAAAAAGTTTGTACTTCCAGCAAGTTTCCAGGTGTGAGTGTTACCGGAAAGGGGACCTGGCCCTGAGTGTGGGTTCTTGACTTCGTGCAGGAAAAATTTTACAATACAAGTCCAGATAAAGAGTATCTGTCAGATCGTTACTACTTGCTTTTTCATTTCAGCAAAAGACCCTCTAAGCCTTGTTGACTGACAGTCTTACAGACTCCGAAAGGAGTTTATAATTTGCTGTGATCACTAATCTGTTTTCTTCTTCTGTTTTCATAGGCATTCTCTTTATTAAATACCTGATTATTTGTTAACACAATATAGGTCTCACTTTAGAAGCCCATCTGCATCACCACCTTCTTGAGACTCAACAATGTAACTAGACTGACTTATTTTCAGGACTAAATAATTGAGTCAATGAAATAGGAAACAATCTACGAACTTCACTTTTGGAATGATACAATTGCATATCAAGATGATGATGCTTCAGGGATTGTATCCTATCCCTACTTTGGAAGGATCAGCTAACAGCCTCTCGTTTCAGTCTCTGATCCCATTCCCTTGTCCCCCTTAGATCAGGCAGGGAGAGACTTCCATACCCTATGTACACAGGGATCCTAGCCCTTGTCAGCAGAAGCAGTTATGGAAGACAGGCAGTCCTCCCTCATCACCCCTAAAAGATTTTAGGGATGGAAGTCTCTGACTGGGGAATATGGCCAATAAGCCAGGACAAGCAGAATAGGGAAACTGAGACAGATAGTTAAACAGCAGTTTGTACCATCTAGAAAATCCTATTTTCCCTAAACCAGGGACACTTAAGAGTAAAGAGTGTAGCCCTGGCCGTTTTTGCTCAGTGGTTAGAGCGTCCGCCTACGGTCCAGAGAGACCCGGGTTCGGTTCCCGCTAAGGGCGCGTGCCTAGGTTGCAAATTGTCCCTGGCCCTGGTTGGTCATGTGGGTGGCAGCCACTCGATGTGTCCCTTTCACATCAATGTTTCTCTCTCTCTCTTCCTCCCACTCTATCTGATCAAAAAATGGAAAAAATGTCTTCGGGTGAGGATTAAAAAAAAAAAAAAAAGAGTAAAGAGTGTAGAGTGTACTTCTTCCCAACCAGAGGCCACATAGCTTAAATCACCCTACTCGGGGACAGATAGCAGATATCCAATTAGTGCCATTTGCCAACCACACCCAAGGACAAACGAAGTTAAGAGAATAATCCTCATTTTGGTACATCAACAGAAAGCTGATAAACATTCTACTGAGATCCTTCCCTAAGACCTCCCCTAAGCACCCAGCCTTTAAATCCCCTCAAAACGAAGGTCCAGCTCGTGCTCTCCCTCCCAGAAGCGCACTCGAGCGTCTTCCCACCTTTTTCCTCCACAGGTGAGCATCTCCTAAACTCTAAGGGACCCCACAAGGCTTGAAACCAGGGACGCAATGGGCAGGGGCAGTTCACCTTGGGTAAACCCCCTGAACCTGTCCTCAAGGGCCCCTTTTCTCTGACTTCTTTTTTTTTTTTTCCAATCCCCACTCCCCTTCAAGCCTCCCTATGCTTCTTACCACTCTCTCTCTGACTTCCTAATGAGCCAAAGCAGCCCAGCCTAGGCTCATTTATTTCCCAGCCCTTTCTTGTGTCACTGTCCCAGCTTTAATAAACGTCTTCCAAAATTCACCTGGACTCGTGCTGTGAAGTTTTTCCTGCATGAAGTCAAGAACCCACACACTATTGGCCTGCCGTAGAAAGACCCATTGCGGGCCAGGTCCCTTTCCAGTAACATGGGGGCCAAAAAATAAAAATTCCCTTCTGCTTTCTACGTTCTTCTGGCCGGAATAATGATCAAATTAATATGAAAGGGATTCACAGGAGAAAATTTCTGTATTCAAGTTTCTTGCAGATGTCCATGCAGGGGTGCCATAAGACAGCAGACCCAAAGAAGGTTGGGGCAGTTGAAATTTATATGCCATTCAGGAGGTAAGGAGAGGTGGGGGGTTGTGGTTTGGGACTTCAAAGGCAGGAAGGCAATTCACGTGGAGGTAGAAAGCAAATGTTTAGTAAATAAATGTTTGCTGAGCCATGTTAACAATGGGACACAGAGAGGACTTTGATCACATGATAGACAGGTTCATATTAAACTATAGTTATCTATGATGATAGCTCCCTTCCCGGAGCAGGTCCTCTATCTTTTGTTCCTTAAAAATAACCAGCTTGAGCCCTGGTCAGTTTGGCTCAGCGGTTGGAGCGTCAGCCTGTGGACCAGAGAGTCCCGGGTTCGGTTTCCGCTAGGGGCACGTACCAAAAAATAAAAAATAAAATAATAATAACCAGCTTGAAATAATCAGTATCCCAAAAGGCATATTTTGTGGGTGGTGAACTTTAGTTCCACTCATAGGTGATGCTGATACCAATGGTCTAGGGACCACACCTTGGAAACCCGTTCCCTAAAACCTCCCATGATTCCCCAGACCCTCAGGAAAGCCTCCAAAGTTGGTTTCCAGAGCCCTGCATGATCTCATGCCTGTTGGCCTTCCTATCCAGCTCATTTCTTTTCCTCCTCGAGACCCGTGTAGCCCACAGCCTAGTGGACTTAAATTCCTGGATGAGGCGTGCCCTGTCCTCCAGACTGCTGTAGCACCTTCTGAAACACGTCTCTTTGTCCACGGCTGACCACTCTCCTTCCCTGGGCTCTTTGTGATACATGACCAGCCTCTGCCCCTCCCCTGACCACACTAGGTCCTGACCATGCGGGAACCGGTCTTTGTTTCCCACGGAATTAGAGTCCGGGATGACAGGGCCTAGGGTGTCCTCTGTCACTGTTGTTCCCAACTCTGTCCCACACAGAATAGGTGTTTTGTGAAATGAATAGCTGATGGATGTCTAGGCTCCCCACCCCCGGCCCACCCCATGGGCCAGGGAGGAGTGACTTCATCTGAGAGAGGAACCCAGCAGCTGTGTACCTGAGCCCTTCTAGATTCCCCAGCAGAGAGACTGGGGTCTTCTCGTGGCACCTCCCACTCAGAAATACAGTCCCTCAAGGGGCAGTGCCTGTTAGACCTTGATGCACAAGGTCCACCCCGCATCCTTCATGCCACAGACTGCCACCACCGCGCCCATTAAGGAGACACTGGAATAATTCTGGGGGTGTGTCCTAGAGGGGTTGCTGCGGACATTTAAAAGGAGATGAGAGCCTGGCCGGTGTGGCTCACTGGTTGAGCATCAACCCATGCACCAAGAGGTCACCAGTTCGATTCCTGGTCAGGGCACATGCCCAGGTTGTGGGCCCGATCCCCAGTGGGGGGCCTGCAGGAGGAGGCCAGTAGGTGTTCTCTCTCATCAATGTTTCTCTCTCTCTCTCCCTCTCCCTTCCTCTCTCTAAAATCAATCAATAAATTAAATATATATATATATATATATATATATATATATATATATATATATATATTTGTGTGTGTGTGTGTGTGTGTGTGGTATGTGCCCCTAACGGGAACCGAACGTGGAACTCAACTGCTGAGCCAAACTGACCAGGGCTAAAAAAATATCTAAAAAGGGTATGAGACCTACTTGTGTGTCTCTGGAATGATCTACGAATTCCTCTGGGTTGGTGAAAAAAAAAACCAAAGTGCAGAAATGAGAATAATATTAGAAAAAGTATATAAAATTATATATATATATATATATATCTTATAGAATATAAAGAAAAGTGCAGAAATGCTGGTAATAATGGCGTCAACATTTTAATGAATACTAGACACTGTTCTAAGAGCTTTACAGATATTAACATGCTTAATTCTCTAACAAGTTCATGAGGTAGGTGCTATTATCTTCCCATTTCACAGATTGGCAAACTCAGGCCTAGGGAGGCAGAATCTGCTGCCTGACTGGGTGTGACAGAATTCAGACTTATTATACCCAGGGACTCTGCCTCCAGAGTCTGCAATGGTCACCCCCTCACCATACTAGGTACCACTTGGGAAGAGCAAAAGAAAAACTGACACACGTGTACACACACATGTATATTGCTGGTATTTGCCAAAGAAATCAGTCAACACAGCCTGAGAGTGGGAGAAAGGCTGACTGGCCCCTGGCCACTCTTGGACCTTTGGAACTTTTAGCATGCACCTTTGTTTTTCAATGTCGTCAGCTGAACGGGCTCCGGTTTCTTTTTCTAGAAGGGGAGAGCCAACTGCCTCCCCACCGGCCGCTGACTTTAACAGCAAGGTCAGCAGTGACCATGATGAGGAAACAGAAGACTGGGAGGCTGAGACAGAGCCGGACAGCAGGTGTCCCTGAGCTCCCATGCGACAAGGTGACCAAGACCTTGCTCAAATCCCAGCTTTGCACTTGCTGTGTGACCTTGGGTAAATTGTTTAACCTCATTGGGCCTCCCTTCCTCAACTGTAAAATGTAGTGATAATGTACCTAACAGAGTTGCTGAGAGGGGTGAATAAATTATTATGTATCGAGGGCTTGGAGCAGCGCCTAGCTCACAGTAAATTCTAAGGGTTTCCTATGATTGTTATTAAAACAATCTTGTGGGCCCTTTTTAGCATGATTGGACAATGTTGACTTCTCCCTTCCTAAAATACTCTCAATTCTTTCCAAGATTCCCCACCCTCCTGGTTTTCCTACTGCTCCCTGGAACTCCTTTTCTGTCTTCTCTGTAAGCTGTTCTCTCTGGTAGGAGGATATTGGTTGACGGGGCTTTAGAAAAAGAAGCCCCCTTTTGCCATACTTACCCTTGAACTTCGGCCCCTATTTGTGTCCACCGTGCCGGCTAGGCATCGCTTATGTACATCCCCACCTGCGTAATTGTGGGATGGCCCTGGCTGGTTAATTAATCTGCACCTCTCCCACTCTCCTGCCTTCCTAATAGAAGCCCAGTTTCATTCAAGTATTCCCCAGCCTCCAAGCCGAAACCTCCCCCCTAGCCTCAGCTCTGGGGGCAGGGAGACTCCTGAGGAATTCAAGCTAATCCTGGGTTCCTCAGGCTAATGATTGGTGCAGGATGGGCATGAGATGGAAGAGGAAGTCTGCTGGAAGGTGTTGGGAAAGGTTTTCTTGCTTCCAGAGACAACATGGAAAATGATGCCCCTCTCTTGTGCTAAAAATGATCATGTCTGGCTCTGATGCTTGGACCTGCAGCAGCCACTTTGGGGCCACAAGAGGACAGCCCATGTGGGAGCCAAACCTTCAGCTGAGGGTGGCAAAGAGAGGACCCGGGGTCACCAGACTCTCCTGGAGCTATGACGGCGTCAGGCCCAGAGCTCTCCTCAGCTCTGGTGATGGCAATGTTACCTGCTGCCCAAATCTTTCCTTACTGATACAAATGTATAAATACCCGCAGGCTGATTTCTCAGGTCTGGTCTCTCACTCCCACCCAGGGCGCCATACCTCAGGGCCTTGGTTCCTGTATCTGTCTGCAGCCTCAACCACTCTGAACCTCAGCCCTGGAGGTTCTGTCAGACCTCCTGATACCTTCCCCTGGGTGTCTTTGGTCCCTCACACCCACCATGTTCCAAATAGCCTCAACACCTCCCCTCAAACCTGTTTTTCCTCCGAGGTCCCCATCTGAAGTGCAGCTGACCACCCCTTGGGCCTTTCCCTGGCTTTGTCCCCTCTCCCAAGTCTATAAGGCCTAAGCCTGCCCATGGCCTCCTGAGCATCCTCCACCTGCACCTCCTCCCGTTGGCCCTGCCCAGCCCGTCGCCTCCTGCTTTGTTCCCGCTCCAGCCTTTCTGGGCGCCCAGCCGTTGTCTCCCCCTCTCCTCTATATCCACAGAAAACCTGGGGGGTCTTCCTAAGGCACAACCATGACCTCTCCTGCTCACAACCCTTCCGTGATGCTCTAGTGCCCTCAAGAAAAGCTAAGTTTCCCAAGCTAGTCATTTAAAGACACTTAAGAGGTGCCCATGTCAGCCCCGGCCAGTTCGGCTCAGCAGGTAGAGCGCCGGCTGGTGGAACAAAGGGTCTTGGGTTTGATTCCGTTCAGGGGTATGTACCTGGGTTGCAGGTTTGATCCCCGGCCTCGGTCGGGGTCATGCAGGAGGCAACCCATTGATGTGTCTCTTTCACATCAAGGTTTCTCTCTCTTTCTCTTCTCCTCCTCCCACTCTATCTAAAAATCAATGGAAAAATATCCTTGGGTGAGGACTAACATCAAAAAAAACAAAAAAGGAAAAAAAGAGGGGCCCATGTCAACCACTCCACCCTGCTTCCCCCATTCACCCCACACTCTTCACAGAAGCTGATGCCCAACGTGCTCTCCTACCTCCAGGTCTTTGCACGCACGGCTCCTTCCGCCTGGAGTGCCCTCCCTGTGCCCTTTCCACTTGCCCACTATCAAGGCCCAGCCCAGGTGCCCCCGCCCTCTGTCACCCCCACAGCGGTTGGGAGAGGTAACAGCTCAGTAGATGGGCCTTTGGCGGTAAGGACTGTTACTGATGTCGCGTGTGGGGGGAGGACACGGAAGAGCACTGCCTAGCTCTGCCTCTAAGACAAGGAACCTCCCCTCCTCCTGCCTCGGCGCCCTCAGCTATGGAGAGCGGATGACAATATTATTTTTCTCATATGCAAATTACCCAGAACGCGGTCTGGCCGAAGAAAGCATCACAGAATAACATGGCAGCTCTGTGAAGTCGCCTTGTGGAGTGACTACTATTATTATTGCCACTGCACAGAGGGACCTGGGGATGACAGGGCACTGGCCGGCCGAGGAGATGGGTATGCAACCCGGCTGGGATTTGAGCCCGAGCAGGCTGGTTCCAGAGCCCACACAATACGCACTCAGTGCTCAGAAATGCGGACAGCTGCCACAACAGTGTCGTGGCTAAGGACAGTGTCCCTCTGTGCCATTCGGATCCAGACCAGGATCCTGTTTCCTGCTGAGGAAGATTCCAGCACCCAGGCCTAGCCCAGGGCCCTCCGCATAGGTCTTGCTCCCTGGAGACCCCTGAGGAAAATCGGTTACATCTTCTTCCCTGGACCACTAACCATATTTCAGGGCTGAGTTCGGTTGTCCCTTCCTCCAGGCAGCCCTCCCTGACCTTACAGGTTGGATTGGGTACTTCCTCGCTTTTCTCCATCACACCGTTGCTCACTCTGCCTCCACTATTGAAATCCTGCCAGTTCTGGGCTCACTGTGTAGGGACACGTCTGTCTACCTCACTGGACTGGGAGCCCCATGAGCGCGGGGCCCAGCCACCTCGATCACCACCGTGTCCCTAGCAGTGCCCAGCGAAGAAGAGGGAGTTTGGGATGAATTCATATACAGGGTGGGGCAAAGGCAGTTGTGAGTACACAAACCAGAGTTTATTCTTATACCATTCTGTATTATTATATTATTTTTCATATAAACAACTGTAAACCTCCTTTGGCCCCATCCTGTATTCTCTGTATGCCACTTGCCCAGGGTGTAGTGACCGACTGGCCTAGTGCCCAAAATGAGGTCTGAGCCGGCAGCCTGGCGGAGCCGGAGACGGCGAGTTGCTGAGAGAAGCAGACGGAAGAAAAGAGGAAGAAACAGACGTGAGAGGGAAATACAGGACAGTGAGGAGGCCGGCGAGGCACAGGATGTCGGGGAGCTGAGAGAAGGAGCCAGGAGAACGAGGCAATCCAGGTGCTCGGGGAGCACAGGACAGGTACAACGAAGGACAGGTGGTGGCAGTGCCCCCACAAGCACCGGCACGTGCCCACGACGGTCTGGTACGTCCGCTCCCACGTGGCCTCCGGCGCAGGTCCGTCCAGCCTCAAGCTGCCCGCCCAGCTACCTGGGGATGGAGGCGTAGTCGGCGTGGGAGCTGGCGGTGAGCTGCCGGTGAGGTTCTGACTCGGAGCCCAGAATGTCCACCCGGTTGTCCTCATCGTCATGGAAGCTGGTGGGGCACGGGCTGGGCAGCAGGATGAGCTCGGTGAGGCCGTGAAGGTCGGACACGTGGCGGACAGTCTGCAGCACCAGAACCATGGCGACCAGGCCCAGGAAGAGGTAGACTGCAGGGATGGCAGAGGGCCCATGGGAGGACTCAGACCCCAGCCAGGCCCAAGGGGCTACCGGACCCCCCGAGGTGGGGCTGGGACCCCCAACTTCCCCCCAGACAGGCCAGGTTGCCCTCACACCCTCCAGGACAAGGCTGTGTCCCATTCCGGTCCCGAGCCAGCCGCCCTACTCACCTGTGACCAGCACCTTGTAGAGGGCCCGGTGGGGCTGGCCGGGGCCTTCCCCGGGCACATAGTCACCCAGGCCAATGGTGGACAGAGAGATGAAGCAGAAGTAGAAGGCATCCAGGAAGCTCCAGGCCTCCTCCAGGTGGGCAAAGACTGCGGCCGGCACCAGGAAGCAGGTGGTCACCACGATCACCAGCAGAGTCACCAGCTGCCAGCGGGCCACCCGCCGGGAGTCCCAGCCCCAGCGCATGCCCAGCCGGGACAGGGGTGCGCGCGTCAGCAGCAGTGACAGGCGCTGGGCCGAGGCTGTCAGCAGCAGCATGGTGGCCGGCACGCCCAGGAGCGCGAAGGCAATGGAGAAGGCCTTGCCCGCGTCAGTCAGTGGCGTCGTGTACCCATAGCCTGCGGAAGTGACAGGAAATCCTGCCCACCTGACACCCCTACTTGGGGGGGGGTCTGTGGCCACTCTTAACCAATACCTAATTTTAGCCTTGAACTCACCCCCATTCTCTCATCTCTGGTCAACCTCAACTCTCTTATCACTTACACCCACTTTCTATCTGTCAGTAAATCCTGTGGTCTCAAATTTCAAATCAATCTCCAACCCACCCACTTCACCCCACCCTGCCCCACACCTATCCCGGCAGTGTCCTTCCCCTCCCGCCCCCATCCTTACCCCCACAGTCTGTTCCCCCTACGCAGCCAGAGGGGCACTGTGAACACCAGTGTTACGTCATGTCCCTCCCCTGCCGAGCCCTCCTGTGGCTCCATCCCACTCAGGTGAAAGGACAAAGTCCTCACCATGACCCCTGAAGTCCCACACAATCCAGGGAAGTACATTCCCACCCCAGGGCCTTTGCACTGCCTGTTCTTTCCCTGTGGAATACCCTTCCTTCAGGTACCCACAGGGCTCCCTTCCCCTTCCTTCAGGTCTTTGTTTAAATATCACCTTTTCAGTTTGGCCTCCCTTCACTGAAAAGGTGGTATTTTAAATTGTTACACTCTCTCATCCAACTCTTGTTTATTTGTTTGTTTTCACAGCACTTAACACCTTCTAGTAAACTATATGGTTTACTTATTTGGTTACTCTCTGTCTCCCCCATTTGGGTGCCATCTCCAGGAGGGCAGAAGCTTGTGTCTGTTTTGTTCAATGCTACAATCATGGCATCGGGCAGAGTGGGCACTCAGTCAATAGTTACAAGAATAAATGAAGGGTACAGACTCTGGCTTCCTGTACTCGACAATGGGTGTGACCAGCCCCACTGAGCTCTGGGAGGCGTGAGAGCTCAGGGCGTGGGCAGGAGTTCTGCAAACAGAAACAGGATACAGGGAATTCAGATGGAAGTGAGACAGGCTCACTGCGTCAATGTGTCATTTAAAATCTCTCTCTCTCTCTCTCTCTCTCTCTCTCTCTCTCTCTCTCTCCCTGGCCGGTTTGGCTCAGCGGTTAGAGCATCGGCCTGCGGTCCAGAGAGGCCTGGGTTCAGTTCCCACTAAGGGCACGTACCTCGGTTGTGGTTTGTCCCCAGCCCTGGTTGGGTCGTGCAGGTGGCAGCCACTCAATGTGTCCCTTCCACATTGATGATTCTCTCTCTCTTCCTCTCTCTCCCTCCCACTCTATCTGAACAAAAAATAGAAAAATGTACTTGGGTGAGGATTAAAAAAATAAAATTGGGAAAAAAATTTAAAAGACTCTCTGTTTTTTGTTTGTTTGTTTGTTTGCTTGTTTTGGAAGAGGGAGGAAAGAAGGGAAATAGGCATCTCTCTTTAAGGACACTTCCTGGAAGGTGTTCTTTAATGTATACTTCCTTGATCAGAAATTATTTCAATTACACCAAGCTGCAAGGAAGGAGGGAATGTCTTTATTCCAGGTGGCCATGTGTCCACCAAAAAACTGGAACACAGACAGAAGGGCTGGAGTTGAGCAGCCATCTTGGACCATGAGGTGACCTTGGGAATGGAAACTGTGCACAGATGAGTTACAGAGGAACACAAGGTGCTCTACCCATGTAGCACCATTCCGGTCTTGGACTGACTATATTGAATGTGAGCAAGAAATAAGTTGCCATCTTATTTAAGCACCTGTTTTTTGAGGTTTTTCATTTATGGCCCTAACCCTAATTAATACAAGGATTTTTATGGAGAAACCCCAGCAGTCTGGCTGAAATGACAGATTTGCAAATGACACATGTGAGTCTCAACTTGCTACCTCCAAGAGCAAAGCCCAGATCAGCTTTTTGCCATTTAGTCCTTTCGTGACCTTGGCCAAATGACCTGTTTTCTCAGAGTCCTGCAGAATGGGCTCATAAACAATGTCTCCTTCAAAGGCAATCGTAATAATCTTACCAGGTTGGGACAGGGCATAGCACCTAGCAAGACAGTTAGGATGCCGGTCATGCTCGCTGCTAGTTTGCCGACTCCTCCACCCCCGGCCTCAGTCGCAGCAAGTCTGCCTGGATCAATCCCAGGCCTCGGGTCTTCCTCAGAAGACCTGGGCCGATGCCAAGACCAGGGGCGCCGTGGGAGACGTCTCTCTGCAAGACGTTTGGTTTTCATTTCTCAGATACATGCAGAGCTCCAGGCTTTCCCAATAACAGTGAAAACAGAGACATGGAAATCTTGTTATTCCCAGCACCTCAAACTGACAGATGTCCTCCTGACCAAACTTTAGCTAAGCTCCTCTGAGCCCTCTTCTTCTTTTTTTTTTTTTTTTTCCTTTATTGATTTTAGAGAGAAAGGAAGTGAGAGGGAGAGATAGAAATGATGAGAGAGAACAAGACTGGCTGCCTCCTGCATGCCCCCCACCTGGGCATGTGCCCTGACTGGGAATCGAACCCACAAGCTCTTGGTGCATGGGTCGACGCTCAACCACTGAGCCACACTGGCCAGGTCACCCACTCTTAATATCTGACCCCATTCCTCCTTCTCCACCCTTGAAAACGGAGGCTTTGGCCTGTCTTTAGCAACAGTCCCATTATGCCAGTATACAAGATCCCCTACCTGTCTCCTCTTAATAATTTCCCCTCCACTGACCCCTTCTTCTGCTCTTGGCTCTACGTCTCCAGCTGTCTTTGTTATATTCAGAGCTGAATTCAGTCTCTCCCCCCTATATAATTTACCATTTTTAACTAGTATCTGAGTAATTTTTTTTAATCCTCACCTGAGGCTATTTTTCCATTGATTTTTAGATAGAGTGGAAGGGAGGGAGAGAGAGACATCGATGTGAGACACATTCATCAGTTGCCTCCTGCAAGACCCTGGCAAGGACTGGGGATGGAATCCTCAACCCAGGTACGTGTACTTGACCAGGAATCGAACCCGTGACTCTTTGATCTGTGGGCCAATGCTCTAACCGCTGAGCCAAATTGGCCAGGGCCAAGTATTTTTTTTTACATTATACACACATCACTCTTCTTCATGCAGGCCTAAGAGGTAGTGCGGTGTGTTGGTTAAGAGCACGGGACTTGAGACCTGATGGCCGCGGTTTGAATTTCCACTCTGCACCTTCCTAGTTGTGTGGCCTTGGGCCAGTTGTGCAGCCTCTCTGTGCCTCAGTTTCTATTACTAAAACAATAGGGCCACTTATGGTACCGGCCTCACAAGGCCATTGTGCCGACTGAGTTAAACCCTGTAGTTGCTAGTCCTCTGCCAGGCTTGACTATTACTGTGAAGTGGGGGGTGTTATTATTTCCACTTTATAGATGAGGGAGGACAGAGGCCTCGAGCTGAGCAGGGATCCAAACCCAGGCTGTGCCTGCCTTGAGTTTGGCTTCTTCACCTGTCCCGCCTGGGACAATTTCTCAGAAGCCAGGATCTGGGAGGAGGTGGATGGAGACGCTCATGTGACTCAGTGAAGCCCAGGAGCAGGTCGGGCAGGCCCAGCCAGAGGAGCAGAGAGGAGCATCCAGCTCTGCTGTCCAGGGCCTTGGCTTGCTGGTCCACACGATGTGGTACCAAGGCAAAGGCAAAGGCCACCTGCTGCTGCAGGCAGGGAGGAGGAGTCAGGAGTCTGGGCTAGGCCTGCCTCAGCACCCCCCACCCCCCAGTTCAAATTCCAAACAAAAAGGAAGTTTGGGGGAAGGGATGTGGAAGGACCAGGAGAGCCTAACAACAGGGATTTCCCAGGTCTGTGGCTGCTGAGGTGGGAAGGGATTTCCCAGGTAGGACTGTGGTGGTGGTGGTGGGGGGGGGGGGGTGAGTTGGTCCCACCTGAGGGGTTTGATTTCAGAGAAGGGGATCTGGGGAGTCAGAGGCTAGTGTCCTGGTTTGAAATGGATCCTGGGTCCAGAGGAAAGAAGGGACAGGCACCAGTGGGCGCATTTTCTGGATCACAGATGGGATTGGGAGGGGAATCCTGAGGTGGAGGGTGGTTATGCTGCCTGAGGGGGCATGATGAAGGTAGACAATGCTAGGTGGGTGTCTCAGATCCTGTCTGAGTGTGTCAAGGGTGGAAAGTGGTAATGGTTTGACTGGACACTGGGGAGGGCTCTGGGGTGCAGGTGGCCTGGAGCATCCTGGGTGGAGGGGAGAATTCCGGGTCCCAAACAGGCTGTGGCAGTGTTGGAGGAAACAGGGAGTTCCCAGCTGGGAGTTTATAGACTGGAGGGTTTCCAGGAGCCCAGGAGGTTCCCTTTCTTGGGAAATCCAGGTTGGGCAGGGGGTCTCGGGGCAGGGGTAGCAGGTGCAGGTGCAGAGTGCAGAGTCTCTGTGTGTGTGTGTGTGGGGGGGGGTCTGCTTCCAACAACAGTGTGTGTGTGTGTGTGTGTGGGGGGGGGTGTGATGAGGTCCCTGTGAGGAGGTCCAGGTGGTTCTGGGGCTCTTGCTGAGGGGTAGCAGGGTCCAGAGAGTGGTGAGTCTCAACTAAGGGGTCTCAGGTTCAAAGAGGCCCCCAGTGGCGAGTCTCTGGTTTGGAAAGCAGTAGGGGTTTTGCTGGAGTCAGTTCTGGGATTGGAGGGGAGGAGTCCTGGCTGGGGGGCTTCTGGGGGGTAATTTAGCTCCCTCTATGGTGGGCCTCTCTCACACATCCATGTGGGGGCTGCTAAAATGGAAGTTCTAGGTTCAGCAAAAACCAAAGTATCTCTATTGGGAGAAAACTCTGCACTGAGGTCTCCCCCGTACAGGGGAGATGCTAAGATGGAGCGGGGTAAGTGCAGAGGGGTCCTGCATCTGGAGTCAGGGCTTACCTGCTGGGGAGTATGAGGGTGAGGGAGGGCAGGGCCCCTTGCAGGGGAGTAGTCTAGATCCAAAGGGGTGGACCTCTCAGAGGGAGGCCCCCCCAGGTCCTGGCTGAGGGATCTCTACTGGCAGTAATGTCTTTAGTGAGGCACCCTGAGGGGGTCTGGAGATTCAGGGTTCCCACTGGGCACCAGGGTCTGGAGGAGGTTAGGGTAGGGCTTCCCAAAGGGCATCCAGGAAGGGTATATCTGGTCCGTTGGAGGGGATGGCATTCTGAACCCAGAGAGAGGGGCAGAAGCCCTTGGCGGCTGCGGTCCGGGTCCAGAATCTCAGGCCCAGGGTCCCAGGACGGACCCAGGTCTCCAAGGGGATTAAAGAAAGGAATAATGTCCCAGATGCTCCTTGGAGGATACTCTGAGTATGACCCTCGTCCCGGAGGGTACGGGGATTCCTGCTGGGAGGACAGGGTTAGATGGGGGCTTCCCAAGGGGGGCGGATCCCACGACGGTGGATCCCGGGTTCTCTCTGAGGGGTTTTGAGGGGATTCTAGGCTCAGAGCAGACTGGAGTGATCCGCTGGGATAAAGGTATCTCGTGAGGGCTCCCAGGTGCCCTGGGAGCAGGGATGAGGTGAGGGTCCCGGTTCCTCGCCGGCTTGGGGACTGGGGCGGCGCTCACGTACCCACGGTGGTGACCAGTGTGCTGGCGAAGAAGAGAGCAGAGGCAAAGTCCCAGGCGGGGTCCGAGTCGTTGGCGGGCCCCGAAGCGTTGGCGAGCGCAGCGCGCCCCAGCCGGCCGGCCGCCAGCACTCGCTCCAAGAAGGCGTCCAGGGCGGGGGCGGCCAAGCACGGGCTGCGTCGCAGCAGCTGCTCCCGCAGCATCTCCAGCTCGGCGCGGAGCCGAGCCTCCTGCGGCCCCTCCAGCCGCGCCACCAGCAGCGCGCCCAGCCCCAGGTACGCGGCATAGGTGGCCAGGGCTCCCGCCAGAAGCGCGCCCCGCCGCATGGCGCCCGCTCGCCCGCTCCCCGCCGAGCCCCGCCGCCCAGCTGACGTGGCCCCCGCCTCCGGATGGCCCAGCGCCCAGCTTCAGTTCCGGGAGTGCTCGAGGCGCGGCCACCGGCGCTCCAAAGAGGAACCAGCGGGAAAAGGGGCGGGGCGGGGTGGACAAGCGCCCCGCCCCCGGGAAACTGAGGCACGCCCCACCGCCAGGTGTTAATCCGGAGAGGTGGAGCTCAGCGTTCCGGCACCCGAGAGACTAATTGGACGGAAAGGGTGGAAGCGTCCTGCCTTCCCTTCCGTCCCTCCCTCTCTGCGTCCCAGGTGTCTCGACTCCTTTGGTCAGAAAGAATCCAAGTCTCTTTACGCTCGCGGATCGAGGAGTCGCGCCCCAGCTCCTCCGGGCCACCGCTCTCGGCTACGAAGGTTGTGCTCTTCATCAGGGTGCGTGGCTGAAGATACGAGGGGACAAACTGACATCCAGTCCTCGCTCCATTCGCTAAGTCGTGCGCTCTGGAGTGGGGATGTGTCCACCAGAGGGGAGGTCTGTCTAATTCACAACGAAGGACACCTCGGGGGCAGGTGTTCCCTGTGCCCTCACGGACGGAGTCGGGATCTTTAGTTCTTCACCAAATCTTTGTCAGAGCCTATTTTGTGCCTGGTCCTTTGCTGGGTGATGCTAGGGACACAGCAGTGACCAAGACAGTCTGGAACGTGCCTTCAGGGGGCTCCCAGCATTTCAACAGCCCAGAGAAGCACAGGCAATGACCAGGGCTGAGGTGGTGGGTGCCTAGAGGACTGTGTAGCCCAGAGGAGGCAACTGCCATAACTTTTAGGAGATCAAGAGAGCTTCTGGCCCTGGCTGGTTTGGCTCAGCGGTTAGAACGTCGGCCTGTGGTCCAGAGAGACCTGGGATCGGTTCCCGTTAGGGGCACGCACCTCGGTTGCAGTTTGTCCCCGGCCCTGGTTGGCTCCTGTGGGTAGCAACCACTCGATGTGTCCCTTTCACATCGATGTTTCTCTCTCCTCGGGTGAGGATTAAAGAGAGAGAGAGAGAGAGAGAGAGAGAGAGCTTCTGGAGGAAGGAGATATCTGAAGTGAGAGGTGAAGGATGACCAGGAATGAGCCAGGGTCTCTTTTTCCGGCAGAACGACAGATCCACACCTCCACTGAAGGGGGAATTTTTCCTTCCCTCTTCCCTCTACACGTGTCTCCACATCCCCTTCCAGCTGAAACTTTCTGGCCACCTTCTGGAGGGCAGCCCCAAATCCTGACCACATCTGACTGGCAGAGGGGTGGGGCAGGGGGCCCAGCTCAGACACACCCCAGAAGGTTCTATTTATAAAACTGTGGCCGCTCTTGAGGAAGAGCCCAACTTAGGGCTGATAACTCACAGGAAGAGACACCTGATAACACAACAGTAACGGTAGGGGCTTGTATTGAATCCTCAACGCCTTCTCTACTATTCCCATTAAAAGATGAGAAATTTTAGGCTTAAAAAATGGAGTAGTCACAAAAGTAGTATGGTGTGACCATTAGAAAGCTAAAATACTTGCTTCATTAATGCAAAATATTTAGAGGATAAGAAAACGGGGGTGGGGCCCAAAGGACAGATGCTAAACCTGAAGCACAGAAGAGGAATGGGGCCACCTCGCTCACAAAGAGCTGGTGACTAAGCCAGGACTCATAACTGAGACCAGAACAGTCCTCGAGGTCCCCAGGAAATATAATGTCTCAGGGGAGGAAAGGGAAAGCCACAGTGACATCCTTCCGGAGTGTTATCACTGCCCAGAAGTCACTTCTACCATTATCTTTTTTTTTTTTTTAAGTATGTTTTTATTGATTTTAGAGAGAGAGGGAGAGAAACATTGGCTGCCTCCTGCACACCCCCCACCAGGGATGAAGCCGCAACCGGGCATGTGCCCTTGCTGAAATGAACCAGCAACCTCTTAGTGCACAGGATGACGCTCAACCAACTGAGCCACACCAGCCAGGGCTTCTATATTTGCCTGAGGTAAGTGGAGGAGAGTGAGGGACAGAAAAGTGGAGGCTGAGGGGGAGAGAAAAGGGGAGACTGAGTGAGATACATGGGGAGACCGAGGGACAGAGAGAGGAGAGACTAAGGCAGCTTAATTCTCTGGGCTTCTTACTTGCAGGTGTGCCTGTGTGTGCTGTGAGTTGTTGGGGAATGTAGAGTATTTTTGGAGGAATGAGAAAGCCAGGTGACAACGCAAAGCTTTTTTTTTTTTCCTGTACTGATTTTAGACAGAGAGGAAGGGAAAGGGAGAGAGAGAGAGAAACATGGATGAGAGAGAACATTTTTTTTTTTATCCTCACCCGAGGATATTTTTCCATTTTTTGTACAGATAGAGCGGGAGGGAGAGAGAGGAAGGGAGGGAGAGAGAAACATCGACGTGAAGGGACACATCGAGTGGCTGCCACCCACACGACCAACCAGGGCCGGGGACAAACTGCAACCGAAGTACGTGCCGTTAGCGGGAACCGAACCCGGGTCTCTCCGGACCGCAGGTCGACGCTCTAACCGCTGAGCCAAACTGGCCAGGGCTGAGAGAACATTGATTGGCCGCCTCCTGCATGCACCCGACTGGGGATTTGGCCCACGACCTGGGCATATCCCACGACCTGGGCATATCCCGTGACCGGGACTTGAACCAGCGACCTCTTTCTTGGTGCATGGGTTGACCCTCAACCACTGAGCCACACCAGCCCGGCCGCAAAGCATTTTTATGACTTTCTGGGAAAATGTCTAAAGATATCTTCCAGGACGGATACCTTGGTTCTTTCCACCTAACTTGCTGAGTGTCCTTTTCTCACCCTAAAATTTCACTTTATTATCTAAAGTCTGTCAAACTTGTAGAAGGGTCGGAGTCTGCACCACTCCGCTTAGTCCCTCGGGGATACAAATGGATTTCTCCTTCCCTGCTCCACAGCCTTCCCTGGCTCCCGCGTGCTCTCGGCGACCCAAATTGAGCGTCCGTGCATAACGAACTACATTTCCCATCGGTCTCTTCGTTAGACACCTTACATTTCCGGTCACATGCGACATCATCTAGCCCTAGGATCGTTCCCGGCCCCGCCCTCCTGCCGCTCGGGCTCGGGGCTTGACTCTCCGCTGACGTCACGGGCTTGCAGCCCTCCCCTCTCACCCACTGCTGAACAGTCCCGGTCTCCGGGAGAGGGCGTGGCCTCTGAACGATCGTAACGCCCATTGGCTGTCGCGTCGCCGGGCTACGGGAGCCGGGCGGGCACATTTCGAACAGTGGTTGGGGCGGCGGCGGCGGCCACGAAGGATGCACCCGGCAGGCTTGGGGGCGGCGGGGACTCCCCGGCAGCGTAAGTGGCGTACGTGGCCGGCCGAGGAGATCGGGAGGGCGGGGGCGTGGCGGGGCCGCCACGGCGGTTGGTGGGGTCGCTGCAGGTCGGAGGTCACGGAGTCAGGAATCTGGAGCTTCGAGGTGTGCACCGCGCAGGGATGCCGGCTCCGGGTAGGGGCGCGTTGGGGTCGATTCGTCTTTTCTTTAGGAAGTTATTTGGAAAGAAAACAACTTTGTATGATGAGGAGAAAAGCGCGACTTTCATTGATTTGCAGTAAGGGATCAGCCTACTCCCTGCCCTGTCGTGGCCACAGGCTGTGTGGCCCAGGCCTCAGGACAGCGTTCGTAGCCCTCGTGAGCGAAAAGGGCCGTGGTCGCCCCTTATTTAAGATTTGAACCTGTGTTTACTGGGCTGTTAACCTCCTTTTTTCCATCTTTGTGAATTTGTCCATATTCCTCTTCATCTCCGTGGTGTGCGTGCATCTCATGTATTCATTCAGCACATCCTGCCTGGGTCCCTGGTGGCCGGCCGGGTGCTGGAGTGCGGGTGCCTGGTAGTGACCAGCATAGCACTGGACTTTGTTAACTTCCAGCTCCGACTTTAGTAGGAAGACAGACACTAAACTCAGAAACAAGTCAGCCAGATAATTTGGAAACTAATTAGGGCAGTAAAGGGAATAGACCAGGATGTGTCTAGGAGTTGAGGAGGCCTCTGTTGAGGGAGACTGTGTGATGCGGTCATTCCTCCCATCAACCAGTAGGGCGCCTGGCTGGCCCTGTGGTGGGGAATGCTGGAGATACAGCGGTGCTCCAACAGGTTGTCTTCATGGAGCTGCCAGTACAGAGCAGAAGTCAGCAGCTGGATAGAGTGATGGACTCTTTGATGAGAGAGCAGCACAGGCAGAGGGGTGAGGGCCGGGGTGGGAGAAGCACAAACGGACTGGTTGTGGCCTGGGGTGGAGGTGCTGTGGTAGCTCATATTAGGCATGTGACCCAGCCTGGGGGTGTCAGCGAAGCTTCCTGGAAGAGGCATGTCTAATGATGAGGAATTAGCCCAGAGAAGGGGGTTTGTGGTGAGAGGGAAAAGCACTGGAGGCCTATGCCCAGTAAACTAGTTGACAAATGAATGTATATCTGGGAATTGTGATAAGTGCTCAGAAGGGAGAAAAGAATCACTGGATATTATGAGAGAGAACAAGGTGGGGCTAGTGTTTATACTGAGGAGTGAGAAGGGTCTCTCTGCGAAGGAGACATTTGAGCTGGGTCCTGAGTGCTCCATTGGCAGTTGTTAATCCTGGGAAGATGTTCCATGTGATGGCATTGCATGTTCAAAAGCCTGTGGGGGCCCTGGTGGTGTGGCTCCGTTGGTTGAGCGTTGTCCCATGCACCCAGAGGTCACTGGTTTGATTCCTGCTGGTCAGGGCATGTGCCGGGGTTGTGGGCTCAATCCCCAGTAGGGGGCGTGTAGGAGGCAATTGATCCATGTTTCTCTCTTACTGTTTCTGTGTCTCCCTCTCCCTTCCTCTCTTTCTAAAAAAAAAAAAAAGAATCAATAAAATATATATATATTTTTAAAAGCCTGTGGGGGCTAAGAGGTTGGCAGGGTCATGGTCTGAGAGGAGGCCATTGTGGCTGGGGTGCAGTGAGCCCCAAGGAGAGAGAAGGTAGTAAACGAGGGCAGTTGGCAGGGCTGGGCCTCATAGGCATTTGGATTTTATTCTCAACACAGTGGGCCCTGATCTTGGGCCGAGGACAGGAAATTTTCTCTTTTGCGTTTAAAAAGACCACTCTGGCTGCCCACTGGAGAGAAGATTGGCGCAGCTAAGAATGGACAAGAGGACCCAGGAGAAGGATATTTAAGTCAGGTGCAGGACGACAGTCTGAGAGGGAAGGGTAACACCGAGACACAGTGGGCAAGAATTAGCGATTGGTCGTTTGGATGCCAGACAAGGGGAATCGTGGGTTTGGAGACTGAGGTCAGGGCCCAGGTCAGCCAGAGGGCATTGCCAGGAAGTGGCCGACCTGTAGGACAGAAGTGGTGGCTGGAGACGGAGCCCTGGCCGAAGGCACACTGTCACTGTGAAAGCTGTGTGGGTGAGTGAGATGGCCCTAGGTGAGAGGCAGAAGACAGGGCAAAGGTGGAAAATTGGGTCACACATTTCAGGGAGCTGGAAATAAGTCCCTGATTGAGAGGGACAGATCAGGAGACCATCAGCTCCATGAAGTCAGGAGTTTTTGTCCTTTTGATCATTGCTTCGTGCATCAGACCCTAACACAGAGGGATGCTCAGTAGGTGTTTGTGGGGCTCAGACAGGAAAGAGAAAAAGACAGATACAGTGTCTCAGAAACCAAGAGAGCAGAGTTGGAGGTTGACATTTGGGGCAATGCATCCAGTGCCCTGAGGACTTGCGTTGGATGAGAGTGGAATACTGGCCCCGGCATGGTGGTGTAGAGAAAGCCTATAGGAGGCTGGTGGAGCAGGACCTCAGGTGCCACTGACCGAGGGGGTCACAGGGAGGGAGGAAGGTTTGCACCAAAGCTTTCAGGAAGTGACCTTCAGGCCAGAAATGGGAGAGGGAAAAGAGAACTGGAACCAGCTTGAGACGAAGAGCGGAGGGGCTCATCACTGATAATAGGTGCCAGGCCAGGAGCTGAGCAGTTATGAGTGCCCTCCACTTGGACTGTTAACCCCTTTTTACAGAGGAGAGAATTGAGGAGCAGAGAAAGTCACAATGCAGATGATTTGCCTCCTACCCCCTTCACTGTAATCCTACCATGCCATTCCCTGTGCCCACCGTAGTGCCTGGCACCAAGGGGGACTCAGTGAATATCGTCTGCAGCAGCATCGCTTGTTGGTTAGGAGTAGGGGCCTCAGAGCCAGAGTGCTGGGTTCAGATTGGCCATCGCCATATTCCTATCTCCTTTCTCTGGCTTACCCAGCCCAACTAAGCACACCTCCAGCACGTCCTGGCCCTCCTGCCTGCCTCCAGGATCTGTCCCGAAGCAGCCCGCCCCCCACCCCTCAGCCCCCGTGCTCCACCCTGGTCTCCCACCGGACCGCCAACAGATTCCTTCCTTCTCTCTTCTCGCCATCCCCACCCTCAACATGAAGCCACTGGGACCTTTTAAAAACATGAATCCTGCCCTGGCCGGTTTGGCTCAGTGGTTAGAGCATCAGCCTGCGGTCCCGAGAGACCCGGGTTCGGTTCCCGCTAAGGGCACGTACCTTGGTTGCAGTTTGTCCCCGGCCCTGGTTGGTCGTGTGGGTGGCAGCCACTCGATGTGTCCCTTTCACATCGATGTTTCTCTCTCTCTCTCTCCCTCCTACTCTATCTGAACAAAAAATGTCCTCAGGTGAGGATAAAAAATAAAAAATAAAAACACGAATCCTGGCAAATAAATAAATAAATAAATAGATAGATAAATAAACGAACCCTGGCTCTACCTAATACTATCTGTATGAGTTTGGGCCTGAACCTTCCTGGGGCCGGCTCGCTTTACCCATCTGTAAAATGGGGGTGTTAATAGCATCAACACAAATGGGTCATTGTGAAGATTAAATGAGTTAATCCATAGTGTTTAGAACATGGTTTGATGTGTGGTTAGTGCTCAGTTGGGGCTGGATTATTGTAATATTTATTGGGCAACTTGGGTTGGACTCCTGCTCTTCACTTACTCGGTTTGCCCTTTGTACAAGTAATTTCGACTGTCTGGGCCTCAGTCTCCACATCTGTAAAATGGGGATGGCCACTGATTCAGTCATCTGGTTTTTATGGAGTGCTACATAGGGGATTTGGCCACGAACAAGATCAAGATTCCCACCTTGGGGGACTCACATTTTTGTGGACAGACAGGGACCAGAAGAAATCAAACATCTAGTATTCCAGCTGGTGCTGAGTTCTGTGGATGTAAACGAAGCAGAGGAGGGGTGGGGGATGCCACCTAGGGAGACGCGGTTGTAGACAGGATGGTGGGGGAAGGCCCCGCAGAGCCAAGACTTCGAGGGGGCAGTGAGCCATGAGGACGTCTAGGGGAAGAGCATTCAGGCTGAGGAACAGCGAGGGCAGCAGCCCAGAGCTGGGAGTGTGCCTGGTGTGTTCAGTGAGCACGGAGGTCCACGTGGCTGGAGCTGAGTGAGGGAGGGGAGCATGAAGAGGGGCACAGACAGAGACCTTGGTAGTGAAAAGCCAGCACAAGAGTCTGTGCACAGTAGGCCTTGGTACACAGTAGCTGTCATCATTACCCTTGCTATCTGGATGGGCGAATGGCAAGCAGAGCCTTCTCGCACTTGACTGAGCGACCCCCCAATATGGAAACCAGCGCCCCAGTGCGGCAGGGTGGAAGGGAGCGCACCCACAGAATGAATGAGGCTTCCGCCTCTCTCCCCCTGCAGCCTCGAAGCGGAGGATCCCTGTGTCCCAGCTGGGCATGACTGACCCCCACCAGCTTTTCGATGACACAAGTTCCGCCCAGAGCCGGGGCTATGGGGCCCAGCGCGGGCCCAGCGGCCTGGGCTACCCTACAGCTTCTGCCTCGCCCCAGGCAGCCTTCCTGGCTGATCCTGTGTCCAACATGGCCATGGCCTATGGGAGCAGCCTAGCCGCGCAGGGCAAGGAGCTAGTGGATAAGAACGTGAGTGGACTGGGCTGGTGGGAGTGGGGGAAGGCTGGGTTCCATGGGGCCAGGGCTTCAGAGAGAGTTCTGCCTCCCCAGATCGACCGCTTCATCCCCGTCACCAAGCTCAAGTATTACTTCGCTGTGGACACCCTATACGTGGGCAAAAAGCTGGGCCTGCTCTTCTTCCCCTACCTGCACCAGGTCAGAGCACCGCCCGACTGAGCTGACCCTGGTCAGGAGGGAGGTGGCCTCTGGGTAGGGGCGCTGGGTGGTGGGCAAGCGTGAGGGGCAGGGGTGATTTGCCCTGAGAGAGGGCCTATAGGCAGGGCGGAAGGAGCCCAGCTCGGGGCCCGGCCTGTTTCCCACTTTCCCCACAGGACTGGGAGGTGCAGTACCAGCAGGACACGCCGGTGGCCCCCCGCTTTGACGTCAACGCTCCGGACCTCTACATTCCAGGTTTCACCCTCCCCACTGCCCGGCACCCTCCTCCCTGTGGGGGGGCACATGTCCAGGGCAGAGGTGTAGGTGCCTGGAGGCCCAGGGTGTCCTTCCTCTGACCCGTGTCTGTGTGTTTGCTCCCACAGCTATGGCTTTTATCACCTATGTCCTGGTGGCTGGCCTGGCACTGGGGACCCAGGACAGGTAAGAGAGGACTCAAGTGGGTAGAATGGCATGGGCTTTGGGGGCCCCGCTCTCAGAACAGCCCCGCTGTGCTCCCCAGGTATCACACTCAGGGTCACCCTCTTTCCCACTCACACGCGGCACCCTGTCTGGGTGATTCTCTGAGTCCATCCTTCCCCTTGGCCTCCACTACCGGATCCAGCCTCATCTTCTCCCTCTGCTAGCCAACTGCCCTGACCCCACGCCCCCCTGCACCCTGACTGCAGCAGCAGCCGGGAAGGTCTTGCCTGAGAGGCAGGCCTGGTCATGTCCCACCCTGTAGCCCCCCTGGCCCCAGACCAAGCCCCAGCTTCTTAGCCCTGCACTGCCCATCCTTACTCCGCTGCGCCACGCTGGTCCCTCCATCCTCCACGGGCTCCGGCACTGGGAGTAGGTTCCTCCCCTACCTCATCACGTGCTGAGCACCTGCTCACTCAGGATGTCCCCGCTCCAGTGTCACTTCCTCAGGGAAGCCTTCCCACCGCCAAGGCTGGGTCAAGCTCTGTCTCTTGCTCATAGGCCTCTGTGGCACTGAAAATAGTTGACATTTGAATATGGCAAAGACCAAGGTGCTTCTTTCCCAGCCAGCTCCTTACTCCTTCAGGTCTCAGTGCAGGGGTCCCTCCTCTGGGGAGCCGCATCTGACACCCTCTCCCCGCTGGGTCAGGCGCCTCCCCTTCCCTGTGCTTCCCCAGGCCCAGTCCCGGCACGTCTAGGGTGTCACTGACAGGTCTGTTGTCTTCCTTGGAATGGGACTTCCACAAGGGCAGGGCCCGGATCCATCTTGGTCACTGCCGGGTGTCCAGCCCCACCCAACACAGGCTGTCCCCAGGTGGATGTTTAGGGAGGTTCTGAGCAAGCCAGTCTAATGACAGCTTGGGTGCCGGCAGGTTCTCCCCGGATCTCCTAGGCTTACAGGCCAGCTCGGCGTTGGCCTGGCTGACAGTGGAGGTGCTGGCCATCCTGCTCAGCCTCTACCTGGTCACCGTCAACACTGACCTCACCACCATCGACCTGGTGGCCTTCTTGGGCTATAAATACGTCGGGTGAGTACCACCGTCTGCCCCGCTACCAGCCCCAGCCCTGGGCCTCTTCCTCAGACCAGCCTTTCCCCCTTCCCGCAGGATGATTGGCGGGGTCCTCATGGGCCTGCTCTTTGGGAAGGTTGGCTACTACCTGGTGCTGGGCTGGAGCTGCGTGTCGATCTTTGTGTTCATGGTGAGCTGGGCTCGGGGGGGCATGAGGTTGAAGAACAGGCCTCTTGGGCAGAGGTGGGTTCCCCTGGAGGCATCCAGCAGAGGATATCGGGTGGGGAGTTGAGACCAGAGCTGCACTGCTGAACTGAGGAGCCCTGGAGTGGGAGCCACAGCCTGGGGGTCAGGAGGGCTTCCTGGAAGAGGTGTGTGCATACTGGGGCCTAAAGGACAAGAGACGCCAGACTGCTAGGGTGGGTGGACGTTCACCCTCACACCGTTCTCCTTACATGGTGGGTTTCCTGCCAGAATTTCCTTCAGGATGCAAACAGTTCCAGCAGCCCCGAAGCAGCTTGTTGGAGGCTCCTGGTGCGGCTGCCGGTTAGCAGCTCTAGCGTCCACTAGGCCTGGGTTTGACCCCAAGCTGGCTGGATCCTGGGCATGGCACTTCCTCTTTCTCAATGTAGTTTCCTCTTTTGTAAAGGGGGTGTGATAACTACACCTCGAGTCACCTGGAGGACACAATGTGAGAAGGCAGAAGGCACACACTGGTGGCTTGGGGGCCACATCTAACCATCAGATAAACTTTGACTTAGTGTTATTTACAAGATTAAAAGAGAAGGCATTTTGGTTTGTGTTAAAAATGACCATCTGGCCCACAAGCAGGTGACAGAGACCAGAGCCGGGCCTGGCCACCCCGTTCAGGCAGGGTAATCACACGGCAGTTCCTTACCTCACTCACTCAGGGGCCAGGCCTGGGTTCGAATCCTCCATTCTCTCACAAGGCCTGGGGAGGAGCATCACCAGCTCTAAGATCTGGGGGGAGCAAAGGAGCCACAGAAGCGAGACTGGAGCCCAGCCGCCCCGGTACAGGGAGGGGGAAAGTGGAGGCGCAGGGGCAGGGAGTGGCCCGCCTCCCGGGCTCAAGGACGCTCACCCTCACACCAGATCCGGACGCTGCGGCTGAAGATCCTGGCGGAGGCCGCGGCCGAGGGAGTCCCGGTGCGCGGAGCGCGGAACCAGCTGCGCATGTACCTGACCATGGCCGTGGCGGCGGCGCAGCCTCTGCTCATGTACTGGCTCACCTTCCACCTGGTGCGGTGAGGGCGCCCCGCCTCTGACCTCTGCTCCTGGCGGCGCCTCTCCGGACCCCTGCCGGCCTCCCTCAGCCGGCTGTGCTCCAGGCCCTGCCCCTCCCCCAGCCCGAGACCCTCCCGCCCCGCCGGTGCTGAGATCCCGGCTGCACCAGCTGCGTCCCCGCGGGCGGCCACTGTTCTGAAACAATAAACCGTGGTGGGCCCAGCGCCGGGTGGCCTCTCATTGGTGGCTGCGCTGTTGCCCGACAGGGGGCAGGTCAGGCCCGCGGAGAAGCGGGCTGGGGACAGTTCACAGCTGCCTGCAACCTCCAGGCCACTAGGAGGCCTGGAGGGTTAATGAGCCAAGCCCAGGCCTGTCGGTGGGAAGCCTTTTTCACCTTGGGCATCTTGACCTTGCCCAGGGTGCTTCCGAATCTCCAGCCTGTGGGTTGGAGCTGTGGGGCCAACCGCAGTGCGGAAAGGAGCCAGGGAGCCTTGGGGGGGGGGGGGTTGCCCAGGTTTGGGGCAGCCCGGGGCACGGAGCACCCTCTTGTCTTTTCCCTTCACCTCCCTGTCTGAGTTGCTGGAGCTGCTGTAGGAATCTAAGGAGTTGGGGGCCTCGGCCTTAGGAGCTGAAAGTCTGAGCTCAAGGTCCTGGGGTCAAAAGCACCCCCATTCCACCATACTCCCCCTCCCCCATGGGATATGCCCAGTCAAGAGGTGATTTGCCCTTGGGTTAGCTTCCCCTGCTTCTGATGGACCCTGAACTTTGGGGGAACTGTGCTTGGGGTCGCTCACCTGGCCTGTCCCCCGGCTTCTTGGAGGTGGACTCCGGGGCTGCTGAGTTGGCTGCATCGGCACTGGGAATGTCCCCTGCACTTCAAGGTCTCCAGTCCCAGGAGCACACCTGCCACAGGTCCAACTTTATGTGGTGAGAGGTGTGTCCACAGTGGGGGGTTGGGGGGAGCAGCTGGACCTGCCCTCCCAAGGAATGCTCAGGAGCGCACCAGACCTTTGCTCAGAGTGCCTGGCGAACTCGGCCCCTCCCCAGCACCACCCCGTTCCTCTGGGCGAAGGGAGGGCCGGCAGATAACTGCAAAGCAAACCCCCTCCCCTCCAGCCTTGGCAGGTGAGGTGGGGCTGTGTGGATGGGGGCTGGGGGGGCAGTTACAGATGTCTGGGGAGGGGGCTAGACCTGCCATCAGCTTCCCCCAAAGGGTCAGGTGGCTGCTTCTAAAGAAACGAGCGAGGGGGGGGCACTCCGTGAACCTTGTGCCACAAGAACACTCCCTGTGTGCTCACTGCGTGCCAGGTGTGGATCCAAGGGCTTCGCGCAGATTGCTCCCTGTGACCACCCTCTGTGGCTTGGTGACAAGCAGTCTAAAAGGCGAAGAGTGTGGACTGGGACCAGCCTGCCGAATTGGAAGCCCGGCTCTGCACCCCGTGGCGGGTGGTCTGGGGAAAGCCGCTTCGCCCCTCGGCCTGTGTTCTCACCTGTAAATGACAGCTAGCGTAGGGGTGAGGTAGGAGTCAGAGGGATTCATTTCCTGGACCTGCTTGGGCTTTGTAAAAATAAAAGGTAGATATTGTTACTCTCCTGTTTTACAGGTGAGAAAACGGGTCAAACAGTTAAGTAAGATGATGGGAGACAAAGGCAGCGATGAACAGACCAGAGCTGGGATTCATGCCCAGGCAGTGTGGCTCGAGTCCAAGGTTCTGCCTGGCCCCTCCTTCTTATCCTGGAGGGTGCTCAGGGGAAGGGGCAGCCAGCAGAACCCAGCCTTCCCTCCCACACTGGGCTGGGTCCAGGTTCGGCTTGGGGAGGGGCTGGGCCGAGCCACCTGCTGCCTTCACTGTCAGGCTGTGTCCTTTCGAGTTTCTCTCCAGCCCAGCCCAGCCCTGCCAGCCGCTGGGCAGCCTGTACCCACAGCAGTGAGCAGGTAGGGGCAGGTGGCTGGGGCCTGGGGGTGACACGCAGTAATCAGCTCTGTGCACGCAGGTCTCTGCTCCCGAGGCCGTTCCTTAGAGGGCTGCCCTGCCTGCGGCTCCAGAGCCCCGTCCCTCCGTCCCTCCACCTCTCCCCTGCTCCATGGCCACCGCGGCCCTTGCTGTTAACTTTGGTTTGTTTTTTGGGTTTTTTTTGGTTAATATCCTCACCTGAAGATATTTTTCCATTGATTTTTATATAAGAGTGGAAAGGAGGGAGGGGAAACATCAATGTGAGAGAGATGCATCAATTGGTTGCCTCCAGCAAGACTCTGACGGGTCAGGGATCAAACCTGCAACTCCGGTACATGCCCTTGACTGGGAATTGAACCTCTGACCCTTCAGTCCTCAGGCCAACACTAAACCGGCCAGGGCATTGTTAAGTTACCTTTATTCTCACTCATTTCAGCAGCACATATTTATCAAGTACCTACTCTGCATCCAGCACAATGCAAGTGCTGGGGGCACAGAGGTGAACAACATTTCCAGCCTCCTGAAATTGACAAAGTAAAGTGTATCTTATATTAGAAAAAAACCTCTGGAGCCCTGGCCGGTTGCTCAGTGGTTAGAGCGTTGGCCTGCGGACCAAGTAGTCCCGGGTTCGATTCCAGCCAAGGGCACGCACCTTGGTTGCAGTTCCTCCTTGGGCCCGGTTGGGGTTGTGCGGGTGGCAACCGATGGATGTTTCTTTCTCTCTCTCTCCCTCCCAGTCTATCTGAAGATAAATGTAAAAACATCCTTGGGTGAGGATTTTTTAAAAATAATAATAAATTAAAAAAAAAATAAAAGAAGCAGACTTCTTTAGGTTTAAAAACAAAAACAAAGGGGACTGGGCAATAACTACATGAAATGTTGGGGAGGGGTTGGATTTTGGGTGGAGTAACCAGGGAAAGCATCACTGAAGTCGTTTTTTTTGTTTGTTTTTTTATCCTCACCCGAGGACACTTTCCCATTTCTTGTTCAGGTAGAGTGGGAGGGAGAGAGAGGAACAGAGAGAGAGAGAGAAAAACATCGATGTGAAAGGGACACATCGAGTGGCTGCCACCCGCACGACCGACCAGGGCCAGGGACAAACCGCAACCGAGGTACGCGCCCTTAGCGGGAACCGAACCCGGGTCTCTCAGGACCACAGGTCGACACTCCAACCGCAGAGCCAAACCAGCCAGGGCACTGAAGTCGTTTTTAAGTAAAGGTCTACAGATGAAGACAAGCCACGCAAGCATCTAAGGAAGAGAGTTCTGGGCAGAGGGAATGCCAAGTGCAAAGGCCCTCGGAGCGTCAGGGAGGAGGGGAGGGAAAGAAGTGGGGAGGAATTGGAGGTGGTGTCTTGTAAATCAAAGGTATTTGTTCTTTACTCTGGATGAGAAGAAAAGGTGAAGTGATTGTGGTTTCCCGACAACAGGACATGAGAGAAAGTGCCGGTCTCTCCTGGCAGGTCACACGCTCCATGAGTGTGGGGACCTCGTCTGCTCTGCTCAGCACTCAGAGCAGCATGATGAATGAGGGGGTCACCTGATGCTCGGCACGTGTTGACGGCAGGTGAGAGCAAGCACAGAGTGGCCGTGAGTTAGGGTTCTGGAGGCCAATCTGCTTACAGGTGAATCCTCGCTCTACCTTACTGCTCTGTGGACAAGTTTCCTCCTCTGTAAAGTGGAAAACTTACCTTCTAAGGTAATGGTTTTGCATAGAGCCTGCCTGGTACAAGGTAAATAGATGCTCAGTAAATGTCAGGTTTCATTATTATCCACAAACACAATCTCATGATTCCTCGTGAAACCGGCAATAGGACCTTCACGTTACAGGAGGCAGTTGAGCCTCGAAAGGCACAATTCCACGCCCAAGGACACTGGGCTAGGAGGTTGTGGAGTGGCAGGCAGTGTGAGCAATCTAGGACTCCAGGCGACGTCCTCTACTCCTGCGCCAAAACTGCAGGGAGGGCGCATGGGCTTGGGGGCCACAGCCTGGTCCTCCAGACTCCCCTCTACCCACTCCTGTATTCTAGTTAGGATGTGGCCACTTCTGCAGAAACTTGAAAAACAGAGGCTGAACAAGATAGCTTCACTTTCCTCTCCCACCAAAGCCTGAACTGGCAGGAGTCCGAGTGGATGGGTGGGTGGGTATGGGACCCGGGCTCCTTCCCGTCGGGTTGTTCTTGGACAGGCTGGCCCCACCATTGGTTCCTCGGAAGGGCAGGGGTGGGGCGGGGCAAGCAGAGGGCACAGCGCTTCCTTTTGAGGACCCTACCTGGAGGCAGCACAGACCCCTTCAGCCAGGATTTAGACACGTAGTCACTGCAGGGCGACTGGGAAGTCTAGTTCCTACCTGGGGAGCCACATACCCACTGAAACCGGGACTTCTGTCACTGAAAGGGAGAAGAGGAAATCGGGCCCGGGAGCCTGTGGCAGGCACCCTTACTGCCCTGCCTTGCCTGACCCAGGTTTTCAAATGGAGGCCATATTAAAGCTGGGAGGTGGGCCCAGCCCGTGTGGCTCGGGTTGAGCGTCGACCCATGCGCTGGGAGGTGGCCACTTCGATTCCCGGTCAGGGCACATGCCCAGGTTGTGGGCCCGATTCCCAGTGTGGGGCATGCAGGGGGCGGCCACTCGATGTTCCCACTCATGGATGTTTCTAGCTCTTTCTCCTTTCCTCTCTGAAGTCAATAAAGAAAAAAAAAAAATTTTTTTTTTTAAAAGCTGGGAAGGTGGACACAAATGCTTGGATGAAAAACCTAGGTGCGAGGTCCTAAGACGAGCATGTCCATCCTTCTGCTCTTTGGAAAATGTAAGCTCCCTGCCATTCAGTTCTAATGGCTAACGGGCAGGGCCAGTCGCTTAGGTCTGTCCTCTCCAGGCCCTGCCTGGCCCCCGCATCTAACGGCACTGCCCCTCCTGCTTGTTTCCTCATTATTTCTGCCTAGAAGGTAGAAATAAAGAAAACCTACCTAAGGGTACAAGCAATGCCTCCTCCTTCGTAGGAAAAGGGGCTTGTGTTCCCAGCTGGCCTGCGCTCATGTCACGGATTGCTAGAGCAGCTTCCTCGTCCTGACTTCAGCAACAGTCTCAGAGGGTCACTCCAACTCTGACGTGCTTACTTAATCACTGCAATTTGGGAAGATTTCTGGATGCCAACTTCAGTGGCAGGGAAGCCAAGACGGTGGGGAGAGAGTCCTCCATGGCGGTCCTGCACTCCTCGTCTGAGGGCTAACGGCTCCTCGGAAAAGCAACCGCAGGAAAAGCAAGGCCTGGTTTCGTCTCCTGGAGTGTCCATGCACAGCGTGCCCTGGTCCTGTAAACACCATAGTCCCTGTCGTGGACTGTCTCCTTAGAACTTGACCGCATCTCAGGAGACGGCGACCTCAGGCAGGCAGCGTGCAGGGCTCGGTCTCCTTTCCCACGGGACAGCAGCGCCGCGCTGGCCCTGGGTGGCCTGGAGTGCTAACAATCGGACAGTCCTCACAACCGTCCTTTGGGAGTGGCCGAGGGGCTGACTGTCGGGACTGGGGTTTGATTACTCCATTTACCAGCCAGTAAGTTAGCCGGTAGCAGTTTCCAAAGTGCTGGCAGAAGCCTCGAGATTCCTGTATTAATCACCACAAGCCGCACAAGCATCAGCAGCTGTGTTGGTTTCCTTTGCCCACGGGGACAAAGCAGAGGGTCCAAATGGGCCTCGCACATGCTGAGTGCGTCAGGAGAGCGGGACACTGAGCTTGGGCACCTGACGTGTAGCAGGCAGCACGCAAGCAGCACGCCGGCTGTCCGAAGGCGGCCATTTCCTCATCCCTCAAGGTGCTCGCTGCAAACCCAACCCGCGAAAAGGCCCAGGTAAACAGCCGTCAGGGTCAGGCATTCTTGACACACCCAGCGAGACCTGTAGCAGCACGGAGGACTGTTTCCACCGATAGTCCCCGCCCGGTTTCTGATGAATTTTCACGAGGACGCCATTCTGTCAGCCACTGATTCATCTAACAGAGGCTGGGACCGTATGTGTCCAGTTGTTCTCATACAGCGTTTCATCAGGGCCACAGTAACAGGGCTCCCAGCAGCAGTGGCTCGGTCCTGGTGCCGTCCAGGTGAATGAGCAGGCTTATTTCAGACAGCCAGGATGCAGTCTAAGGCTACCTGTCATCCGCTAGGACCCACACCGGAAGGTCAGGGTAACCTGCTGACCTTCAGTGTCATTGCCAATGATCACAAGGCCTGAAAGCAGCCCTCATGCCCCACAGAGACATCATGACTCATTCTTTCCCACACACACAAACACAGACTGCTGAGGCACGGGGCATGCCAGTTCAGGGTCTGTCGTCCAACTTGACTTGGAACAACATCGCCCTGGTTTGGTGAAGCCACATGGGCAGTACCACTGAGTAGTTACAGCCTCCACAGCCATACATGGCATAACTCGGGGCTGCTCGGGCAGCAGTGTGATGTTATCAGCCAGATCAGAACAAGGCTGTGCAGGTCCATGTGTTTATAAACAGCTAGGGGTGCGGCCCACATTCAGAAGCTGCTACTGATGGGACCAGGCACAGCAGAATTGGTGAGGACTGGCCATGGCTATGGGTCACTTTGCCAGCTGCAGATGCCACAGGGCTCAGGTGGGCCCCGTGACTGGCTGGGATGCGGTGTTGTATCTAGAGGACGGAGAAGGCACTGACCGACCCCACTGCCCCCGAGGTCTAAGGCCTCCCTCCCCAGGTCCCAGGTTAACTCACCCCAAGGACTTGAAATCAGTGTGTAGCCCATCTCAGCAGGTGTAGCTTCACTTCTTCCAGCAACAGCTACTCAGACCTTGTGTTTGGGTCAGATATAAGTGGAACAAGCATTTTTACAAATTTACAGGGGCAATGTGGGCCACCATAAGAAGACTTGGCAAGCAGGGCACTCAATGACCAAGTGGTCACTATCTCTGTGACCTAGAACCAGTCAATCCAGGAAAGAATCCAAGGGTCTGAACCAGAATGAACTTCAACCCCAGGCCTCCTTCTGGTTGGCCTGCCCCCTGGAGGATGCAGGGACAGGTGGGCCAAAGCCTGATGTTGGGGCGGAGGAAGGCGCGCCATACCCAGGAAGGTACAAAATCCAGGAGATGGCCTAGAGATAAACCCTTTCTGGGAACAGCCACATTCAGTGACCAAACTGCCTTCCTGAAGCATATGGACCAGGAGGAAGTGAGGAGAGATCTCTGTGAGTTGATTATTTATTTATTTTAATTGTTTAGTTTTTATTTCATATTCATAAACTTAACTCTGCAATCCAGCTAGACTTGGGAAGGGTAAAGAAAATATGGAACTCGCCCTGGCCGGTTGGGCTCAGTGGTTAGAGCATCAACCTACGGTCCCGAGAGACCCGGGTTCGGTTCCCACTAAGGGCACGTACCTCGGTTGCAGTCTGTCCCTGGCCCTGGTTGGGTAGTGCGGGTGGCAGCCACTCGATGTGTCCCTTTCATGTCGATGTTTCTCTCTCCCTCCCACTCTATCTGAACAAAAACACAAGTCAAATTTATGAGCGTGGTCCCCAGTCAGCAATGGTGACCTTTTTGCTGGTCTTGCCATTCCTGGACCCAGAGCTCGCCATGGCTGTCACAGCACCCGCGCCGCCTTTCACCTGGCCGAAGACCCCGGCTTGCCACCCCACCACTGAGGCTGGCAGTGCAGCTGAAAAACTCGGAACCATGTGTGTTGGGTCCAGCATTTGCCGTGGATGCCAGGACCTGTGGGCTTCAGGATGAAATTCTCATCATCAAATTTCTCCCCACAGACGGACTTGCCACCTGTGCCATTATGGCGGGTGAAGTCACCACCCTGGCACATAAATCCCGGAGTAACTCTGTGAAAGGAGGAAGCTTTATAACCAAATCCTTTCTCCCCAGTGCTCAGAACACGAAAGTTTTCTGCCGTCTTTGGAACTTTGTCCACAAACAGCTCGAAGGTGACGCGGCCCAAAGGATCGCCCTCGATGGCGATGTCGAAGTACACGACCGGGTTCACCATGGCGGGCTCGAGCGGTTCCGGTACCACGGTGTCTGCAAGGCCTGAGTTGATTTTTTTTTTTTTTTATCCTCACCTGAGGACAGTTTTCCTTTTTTTTTTTTTGTTTTTTGTTCAGATAGAGTGGGAGGGAGAGAGAGAAACATTGACATGAAAGGGACACATCGAGTGGCTGCCACCCGCACGACCAACCAGGGCCGGGGACAAACTGCAACCGAGGTACGTGCCCTTAGCGGGAACCGAACCTGGGTATCTCTGGACCGCAGGCCGATGCTCTCACCGCTGAGCCAAACCGCCCAGGGCTGAGTTGATTTTTTAAATGTCCATTCCATTTAATGATGCCAGACAAAGGCTGTGAAATACTCAACTGAACAACGTGGCTACTGGCCCACTGTTGGGCGGCTTCTGCAAAAAAGAGCACCATTGTCAGCCTGTCAACGGTCCATAAAGTCACAATCATGGCACGTTGTTTCAGGGCCTAGTGGCACGGCAAAGTGGCTGACCAGCCTGGCACACATCACCACCTGCAAAAGCATAGGGTGACACCACTGGTGGTCATTCTGTAGGAGCAAGTGGGCCCCAGGGCCTCCTTCACCATGAGACGAACTGGACACATTTTGGCAGAAGTGAGTCAGAGTGAGACCTGCATCAGAAACATACAAACATAAAAAAACCTTCCAGCCCTGGCCGGTTTTCTCAGTGGTTAGAGCATCAGCCTGAGGACCAATGAGTCGCGGGTTGGATTCCGGTACCTGGGTCGCGGTCCGTGGCCCTGGTCGGGTCATGCAGGAGGCAACCAGTTGATTTGTCTCTATCACATCGGTGTTTCTCTCTGTCTCCCTCCCTCCTTCCCACTCTATCTGATAATAAATGGAAAAATATCCTCGGGCCCTGGCCGGTTTGGCTCAGCGGTTAGAGCGTTGGCCTGTGGTCCAGAGAGACCTGGGTTCGGTTCTGCTAAGGGCACGTACCTCGGTTGCAGTTTGTCCCCGGCCCTGGTTGGGTCGTGTGGGTGGCAACCACTTGATGTGTCCCTTTTACGTCGATGTTTCGCTCTCTCTCTCTCTCTCCCCGACTCTATCTGAACAAAAATATGGGGAAATGTCCTCAGGCGAGGATTAAAAACAAAATAAACACATTTTCCCTTCACAGGGCTAAGATATGAAAGTGACCATTCTTGTTGTAGGCGGAGAAAGGCCTTCTGCTAGGCGAAGGCATGGGAGAATCTGAGGTTCCTGAAGACAAGGGAGACGTAAGTGGGTTTAAGGGTTGCTCCCGGTGGCTGGGTGGGTCTAGGGGAGTGCCACCCACTGAGGAGGAACAAGGAGGCAGGTACATGAGCAGAGGCGGAAACCAGCCCCCTGAAGGAGGCTCCCTTGCTGAGCACATCTCTTGGGCGACCTGCCACGTGATCTCATATAACCCTCACCTCCACCCACCGATAGGTGAGGAAACTGCAGGTTCAAAGGAGGCGGGTGACCTGCCCGCTGTTGCACACCTGGAGCGGGGGGAGGGGGGGCAGTCTCTCCCCGGTGCCTAGGCCCTTTCCCGGGACCACAGGCTCTCCAGCTCTGGGCTCCGGTGTGTGTGGGACACCGCAGGCTTCACTGCTCACTAACTGAGTCAACTGCAGTGCCTGAGGCTTGCAGGGAAAATGCCAGAATCCATGAGCCACACCTATCAGACACGGAGCCGGGAAGGAGCAGCTGAGGTATTTGCCAACTTGCTTCTGGAATAGATTCCTAAGCCCGGGTGGATACAAGTCTTTCCCCCAATGTACAGAATGTGGCCTTCTGACCTGAGGGATTTCTAGGAAGGAGTTCATTGTTTTCTTGTTCCAAGGGGAGGCCAAAGCAAAATTTGGAAGTGTCTGGTTGCACGGTGCACACAGGCTGGCCCGGCGCCTCTGCTCACTCCTGGGCCAGGTCCCAGCCTCCTGAGTCACCAAGGCAGGTGGAGAGACTGAGAATGTCCTCGAGGTGACCGTGTCATCCAGCTGAAACAGACTGCTCCCAGGAAGTCCCCTCAGAAGCTGACTGACACCTCCTCTAAGCCCAACTAGGGCTGGTTCCTGAACAGGCCATTGCTTGTCCCAGGCAAGTAGTAAGATGTTTTCCTCCACCCAGGTCACCCCCCAGCACCCCTACCTATCTTGCCCTGTTCTATGTAATTCTTTCGCACCTGCCACTCATGCAGCAGGGAGAATATCCATGTCCTCCAGGACCCCTTGCTGCCCAAGACAGGCCCAAGTTCCCTTAAAAACACTCCTTACGCAATGATGAAGTTAGCATTTTCTCTGGTTTCTCCGGCCTGGGAAGTTTTACCTAACACCGTGGGTTGCCCAGATGCTGCTGCGTGCAGGACTACATGTCTGGGAGATGGAGGGGGGCAAAGGGGAACACCCACAGGTAGGCAGCAGAACCGGGACTGAGCCTGGAGGCTGGGTTCAGCAGGGTGGTTCCCTGTCCCCATTCCAGTGCAGGGGCACGTGGGAGCCCCGAGAAGACTGCAGAACTGCAGGAGAACCCCCCAATTTCAGGAAGGTCTCAGTCTTCCCCTGGACAGCATACATCCTTAGTCCTGCCCTCCTGTGCCCTGGAAGCGGTGTCTCAAGGTGTGTCAGTCCATAGTGGGTCATTCAAAAACAAAGTCAGCCCTGGCCAGTTTGGCTTAGCAGAGCATTGGCCTGCAGACCGAAGGGTTGTGGGTTCGATTCCAGTCAAGGGCATATACCTGGGTTTCAGGTTTGATCCCTGGTTGGGGTTATGCGGGAGGCAACCAATTGATGTGTCTCTCACATCAATGTCTCTCATTCCCTCCCTTCTTTCCACTCTCCCTAAAAATCAATGGAAAAAAATCTAGGGAGGATTAACAAAAAAAAATAAAATAAAATTAAAAAAAAATAAAATTAGAAGCAACCCGCGTGCTCCTAATTCAGTGGGGTATGGCCAGAATTTTAAAAAGGGAACTAGAATAGAAAATACCAGAGCTCACCACAGGTGGTAAGGCTAAGTGGTAAAACTTTATGGACACTCAGGTGTAAAGTAATATATATTTCATTCAAAAAGATCTGAAAGATGCTCCTCTTCTAAAGAGTTTTTATTTATTTATTTATCGATTTTTAGAGAGAAAGGAAGGGAGGGAGAAAGAGATAGAAACATCAATTAGCCCCCTCCTGCATGCCCCCCACTGGAGATCGGGCCCACAGCCTGGGCATGTGCCCTGACTGGGAATCGAACCAGTCACCTCTTGGTGCATGGGTGGGTCAACGCTCAACCACTGAGCCACACCAGCTGGGCCGAAGAGTTTGTTTTTAGAATGGGACCTATCATGCAGCGTCCTATGATAATTTTGGTAGAGTTTAAATTAGTAGTCCCATAAAGCAAGCAAGCGCATGCTGAAATTTATTTTTAAAAGGAAACATCTTTTTTTAAAAATATGTGTTTTTTTTTGCCCTGGCCAGTTTGGCTCAGCGGTTAGAGCGTCGGCCTGCGGTCCGGAGAGACCCGGGTTCGGTTCCCGCTAAGGGCACGTACTTCGGTTGCAGTTTGTCCCCGGCCCTGGTTGGTCGTGCGGGTGGCAGCCACTCGATGTGTCCCTTCACGTCGATGTTTCTCTCTCTCTCTCTCTTCCTTCCTCTCTCTCCCTCCCACTCTATCTGTACAAAAAAATGGAAAAATATCCTCGGGTGAGGATAAAAAAAATAAAAAATAAATAAAAATATGTTTTTTTTAAAGGTTTTTTATTACCTAGAGAGAGGAAGGGAGAAATAGAAACATCAATGTGAGAGAGGAACATCAATCTGTTGCTTCCCGCATGCCTCCCACTGGGGATCAAGATTGAACCCAGGCATGCGCCCTGAAAGGAAATCAAACCAGGACCTCTCAGTCCATAGGACAATGCTCAATACACTGAGCCACACTGGCCGGGAAAGAAGACCCATTTTAAAATTTTTTCAAGTATGTTTTTATTGATTTTTTTAGAGAGAGAGAAAGGGAGAGAGATAGCAACATCAAGCAGCTGCCTCCTGCACAGCCCCCCACTGGGGATCAAGCCCGCAAGCTGGCCACGTGTCCTGACCCCGGGAATTGAACCAGGACCTCTCAGTCCATAGGATGACGACATTCAATCCACTGAGCCACAACGGCTGGGCGGAAAGACCCTTTTTATTGTACTTGTACATTTCACTCTCTTCCTTTCAAAATTCTAATAAAAAAAACACTTTTGTTGCTGCTTACTTAAAAAACAACTCACAAATCAAACAAACAAAGGAAAGTATTAAAACATCACTTCTATGATAGGAAAGGAGGCAAAAAGGTTTCAACACAGACAAAGAAAACTATACCTAGAGTAAAGAAATCAAAGAGGAGCTGACTGTGGTCTGGGACCAGGCCACCTGAAGGTGAACAAAGTGAACCTGCCCTGAGGGACCAGGAAGCCCTCTTCTGAAGCAACAAAACAGACCAAAAGCCCTAATGATCGCAAAAATACAAACCAATCACTCTAATTTACAAAGCACACACACATTCCACACTTGTCCCCCCTTCCCAGGTTCTCTTCATCGACAGAGGGTCCTGAATCCTGAATCTTAGCGACTCAGGTGGGTTCACAGCACGTTCGTGTTCTTCACCAGATGTTCCTTATCGTCCCCAGAGCTCCAGACAGTGCGGAGGGTGCGCTCCTGGTTCCTCCGCGCCATCCTGATCAGGCAGACCACGGAGGTGCCCAGCAAGAGGATCAGGACCATCACGAACAGCCCTGCCAGGACCACCACTGGGGATGAGAGAGAGGCATTAGAACCAGTGGGAAGAGGAGGGCCATAGTCAGAATGGGGCAGCACAGGGCTTAGGAAGGACACAGGTGCCCTAGGGGCTCAAGGTGAGGACCAGCGGCCCTTGTGCCTGACATCCCTCTAGCTGACTGGGAGGGTCTGGAGAATGACCCGGCTCACCCGGCTCACCCGGGAGTCATCAGAGTCTCTACAGTCCTAAGAAGCTTTTGCTCCTGAACAAGGCAGGCGCTGTGCTATGTGCACAGAAACAGGACTGTGTTTCTTCTTTTTATTTCCTTTATTGATTTTATTTATTTTTATTTTTTAAATTGTTTTCCTTTATTGATATTAGAGAGAGGGAGGGGAGAGGGAGAGATAGAAACATCGATGAGAGAGAACATCGATTGGCTACCTCCAACATAATCCCCACTGGGGATCAGGCCCACAGCCTGGGCATCTGTCAAACTGGCGGCCTCTTGGTAAATGGGTCGACACTCAATCACTGAGCCACACTGGGCGAACTGTGTTCCTTCTTTTTGAACGAACAGCTGCACTTCAGCTATTTCCCTTCCCTGCTCAGCGGCAAAGCTGGATAGGAGTCCCAAGCTCTGCACACCAGGATGTAAAGAGTACACACTCGGTGTGTGTGGAAACATAGAATCCCAGGTTTTGTGTTCACATACCCTCTACCTCTGACTAGCCAGAGAAAGGTGGGCCTGCAGGTGGCCGGGAGGCTGCCTGAGGAATGAGGGAAGGTGGAGGGAAGGGTGCATTTGGAGCCGTGCCGGGAGGGGACCCTCATGCTCCTAATGGCTCTGGTAGATTGAACAGTGGTAGCCCTACCGGTCAGTTCAGATGCTATCTTTCCAGGTGGGGCTCCACCGAAAGAATGTGGCTCCTGTGGCAGCTGCCTGGTTCGCTCTCCCCACCTGGCTACAGAATCAGATGGGGGCGAGTACCTCTCTGTATACCCCACACCAATACTCCAGACGATGACTGCTTTCAGCCCAGACCTGGCCATCCTACTCCAGCTTCACCCTCTTCTAGATAGAGCAGGCAGCAGGCCAGGCTGGGCTCCCTACAGGGGACACAGGTGGAAGGCGCCAAACCAGTGTGGCAGGTCCTTTAAGCAAGCATTATCTTGCATGACTCAGGCTCAGAATCAGAAACAAAAGCGAGAAGCCCAGACTCCTTGTCAGACCACAGTGCAAGGTCTCCAGCTTCCTTCCTGTCACCCATGGCCAACTCTGTACACCCCGCAAAGTTCCCTCCAAACCTGGAGTCAGACTCAGGCCTGCGTGCGGCAGATCCCTGCACGTCTAACATCAAAACTTGTCCCCTCCAGTCACTCCCAGACCCCACCATGTACACTCTGCGGTGGGACAAACAGCTAACCACATATTCCAAGATGCCTGGCCGCTCTCGTGCAGACACAACTTTCTACCTAAAGATGTTGATGGGGAAGGACGATGTGTCCAGGACATGAGCCTGTGAAAACACAGCTGAGCACAGGCAGGTGGGCAGGTGGGGGGAGCGCAGGAGGCCATTTACCTTTAGGCAGAACAGGATACAGCTGGTTGCCTGCAAGAGAACACAACCCTGAGGTCAGCTCCTCGTGTGCCTCTTTCAGAGCTGCCGCCACCTTTAGATCCCCTTGGCCCTGGGCCTTCACAGTGGGCTCTTTCTGAGGCACTTCCTTTTACTTGGTAAATGGGTCGACACTCTTCTGAACAGGTCTGGAAGGCCTTGTTACCTCGGTGGGGACCTAGGACATGTCTGCCCAACAGCTGGGGCCAAAGCCCACCTGTTCCCCACTAGGGAGCCAGAAAAGGATGGAGGCCACATGACAGCCTTTCCAAGGCCTAGTTTTAGGAATGGGGGATGGACTCGGGGAGGGCTGCCCACCCACCACTGTTTTGTTGATCCAGGGGTCAGGCAGACTCACCAGAGCAGTGGCTCATGCACTCCTCCTTAGAGATATAGTTGTTCTTATTCCCCCAGCACCCTCCATAGATAAAGTTATCACAGGTCTTCTTCTCGGCATCAAAGTACCAGCGTGGGAAGGATGCACGGCAAGGCCCGGTGACTGCCTTGGCAGTGCAGTGTTCTGGGAGTGGGAGAACCGAGGAGCACGTGAGCAGGGCCCAGAGGAAGGGAGGTGAAGCTAGTGTCCCTGGGCAGTCGCACAGCTGCCGGCCAAGGGAGAGCTGTCTCTCTGCCACAGAAACTGGGAAGCTACAGGTATGGCCAGTCTGGCCCATTTGACACCCTCCTCATTTCTGTATCTTTCTCTTCACAGCCAGACTGTTCCTGCAGAGTCCTCCATGCTAGGCACTGTTCTAGGCACTTTCCATGTAGTAACTTGGTCTCTGAGAGAGCTGCCCCAGGCCCCTCATTTCACAGTCAGGGACTCTGAGGCAGAGACCACAGCAGGTGAGGCAGGGGCTGCACACTGTGTATGCCCTGCTGCCCGCCACCCTGGGGCACCCCTGTGTAACCCACACCACCTGGGAAAGGCCAGGAAGCCCCACGCTACAGTTTCCTTAGTGGAGATCCTCAAGGGTGTCTCAATTCCAATTAAGTAAAGAAAATACATTTTGCCCATATAAAAATATTTTAAAAATGTTTTACTTTCTACCATCTAAAATAAAAAATGAATTAAAAAAAGTTATACCTTCATAGTTGAAAATGTCGCTGGAGGGGTCATCGAAAGCCTGCCTTTTGGGAACTAAAACACAAACATCCATGTCAGGGAGGCTGGGATGGACACAGGACACGTGGTCTGGCTGGGGCTGAGTCTAAAAGGGCCCACCGAGGGAGTGTGGACCCTGGCACCTAGAAGGAAGGGTGTGGAGCTCCCCTGTGTTCTAATGGGCTCTACAGCACACACCGAATGAATACTGGGTGGGGAGGCCCACCTGCCACTCCAGGGATTGCTATAGGAACTAATCCCAGTTGCAATGTTTGGGGTGATGAGGAAGCTGGTCTTGTTCACTCTCTACACAGTGAGGAGGCCCCTCTTTTACTCTCCTGGGGACATTTTCTTCTGAAACAGGACGAACCATAGATACTATGCAAGTGCCTGGGGCTCTGGATGACCTTAAAAAGGCCAGTTCGGGAATACACAGTGAGCCCAGGCAAAGCAATGGCCAGGAAGGTCACAGGACTCCTGGCCTAGCAAAACTGGAAAGTGACTCTAGCCTAACTTTCAGCATTCTACAAGTCACAGAATAAATACACACTCTCCCATGAGTGCTGGTGTCACCCTCAGAGGACCAGAGCTAAGAGGGCAACAGGTGTGTGGCTACTAGCCTACTGGGGGCTGTCTGCCAACGGGGTAGGGGCAGATTCCCTCCCTTCACAGTAGGTCTTGCCCAGCAGTAGAACCCATCACCTGGGAACTGGCCTCAGGAAAGCTGGGCTGGACTTGCTAGTGTGACTGTACCACTCACCCCAGGCTCCCGGTGCAGAGTCCGTTAAGCATAAAGGAGGAATGGGGCAGCTGCTGTCAGCACTACAAAGCAAGCTAACACAAAGCTCGAGATCAACGACTGCAGTGAGAACAGAGGCAGGTGGCAGAGGACAAGACTCTAAGCACAGAGAGAGAGAGATGACAAGGACCACAGGGAGCAGAGGAGACAGAGTCAGCTAGGAGAAGTGGGGTGGGCGGTGAGACAGCAGAGGCCAGCCTAGAGAGAAGGAAGGGGCCTGAGCCACATGGGCAGCGACCACTACCCTCTGACCCCCAGGAGGAAGCTGAGGCCAGCTCTGAAGCACTGCAGAACTCCTGGCCCCTTTCCGTTCAGAATGCCGCAAGAAGCCAGAAGCTGGCAGCCTAGGCAAAGCCCCTTCACCAATGCTGAGTAAACAGAACCAGGAGGTGGAAGCCCCCGTACAAGTCCCAGGTTACAAATATCCTTTCACAGGTGCCCATCTGGACAGCCCTCATTCCATCCTGGGTCTTTTTAAGAACCTACCACTTGCGATAGAGGAATCTGCTCCACTTCTCTTGGTGGTCAGACCATCAATGGTGTTCTCTACAAGGAGACAAACAAAGCACACAGTGAGAAAGTGCCCCTCCCTCCAAGACTGCTAGCAAAACAAAACAAGCTGTGTCTCTGAGCAGCCATGGCCCCTGTGTCTCTCCTGGCGACTGCCGTTTCTCCTTTATGTGGGCCTTTCAATGCGCTCGCTGGACCACAAGCCTGCCACAAGAACTTGGAAATGAGGAACCAAGATTGTCCTTGTGGGTTAAACTTTAAGACTGACTTGCTAGGAATCAGAGCAGAGATGTGTGAAATGATTGTAAAAAGACAATATGGCTTCCAGGGCCAAATAACCTGTGAACTGTATTAACCATCTAATAAATGCATGCCACTGAACTGTACACTTGTAAATGGTTAAAATGGTAAATTTCATATTATGTGTATTTTCTCACACTCATGCAGTTAAGGGGGTGAGGTGGAGAGGCTAGTCACTTAAGGAAGCACAAAAAAGAGAATGAGGGCAGGGTAGAGGAGGGAGGGATCCTGGCTCCCCGCCTCCCTACTGGTCCCAACAGACCTTCTGGAGAGACACAGGGCTGGCCTGATCAGATGCCATTAAACAGACACGTCACAAACCTGCTCCCCTTGTTCTGCCTCTCTCTTCAAGCAATATTCTGGGAACTGGGCCGAGAGGACTGCCTACGTGGACTACAGGTGCAGGCACAGGGACCCGAGTGTCTGGTCCCAAGGGTGGTTCTGGCTCTCAATATAAATTAATAAACTGGCCTTCTCATTATCATGTGGCTTCCCACAGAGTTTGCTGCCCGGGAGAGAACATGCTGGCAAAAGGCCCCAGTGCCTAGCTGCTCCGGCAGTTCAAGCGTTTGTACAAACTCAGGAAGGACGCCTCAAGAAACATGCAATGGAGACACACTCAGGTGCCAAGAAAGGCTTTCTGGGCCCTTAAGACTAGGGCCAGAAACTAAACAAAGACAACTGTCTGCCTTCTCTCAGCACCCCTGGGCCCTTGTAGTGACCTCCTGTCTTAGTCCCTAATGTCTACTGCTTGCATTGTTAAAAACAACTTTCTTCCTGAGAAAATGAGGAGCAACCAGAATGGGCAGGTACACTTCCTATCGTCAACTCGATTAGGAAAGGACAGAAAAGGTAGCAAAAATATCCCCCCTTAATTCCTTCCCTCCAAACTGGATCCCAGCTGGTGGTGGAAAATTACAGTAAATGCTATTTTCCTCAGTCACCATCTGGTAAGGTTGCCAGCTGCTCCTTGAAAGGTGAGGAGCTTGCCTGTATGATCCAAAAACAATACCCCACCACCTCAGCTCTCCAAACACTTGTTGAGCGCCTGCTGGGCACCAGGCACACGAAGACCAGTAAAACGTTCCTCAAGACACTCAGTCACTGGCAGGCTTGTGTGCGGCACTGTTTCAATCCTCAAGGCACAGCCAAGGCCACTGCCCTCCCCCACATATAACTGTAATAAGTTTATCTGAGTTTTAATGCAGAGTGCAAAGCCAAGAGAGATTACAGCCAGTTGAGTGAGGAGACATAAAAACCCCACAAGGATGCGGGACACGGGCTCTCAGGCTGGAGGTGTGCAGGGAGCAGTCAAGGCACCAGCACATCCTGACACAGAATCAGAATCCAGTCCTAGCGTCAAGGCCAAGCAGCCAAGAAGGGATGGGGGAAGTCACGTAACAATGTTAAGGAGACTGCCAATGAAAATGCTTCACAGTCTGGCTGGCTAAACTGGAATACTTGGGAGGGATCAGGCCCCAGAGGGCCAGTGCCTCACTGCCATCAAGTTCAGAGCTCAGTTCAGAGACAGTGCAGGTTGTTGTGGGGCTTTAAGTTTTTATTCAAACTGTGAGGCTCTCAGGGTCAATGCTATCTCCATTCCACAGAATCCCTTGCAGGTGGGGGCCGGGAAAGGATGGACTCCAAGAAGCACGTTCTAGTTTTAACTCGACTCAGAACTTGGCTGGCTGGGTGAGTTCCTCGTTTGTCCCAGAGGTAAAAATAACCCAAATGCCCAGGGAGCAAGTGGGGCAGCCTGTCTGAGTGGACCTGGGGGACTCTGCTCAAGGGGAAGTCACTTCCTCCTTTTGGGGGTTTGGTGTGGGACCTGCACTCAGTAGTGGGAGAAAGGAAGTCATGGAGAAGACAAAGTCCTGCCCCCGCCCTGGCCTGTGACCTACTCTCCCCTTTTAGGGAAGAGAACGAAGGGGACTGCTGTGAAACTACTGTGTGGGCGACCTTTGCACTATGCATGTTTCTTCTTCTTTTTTGCATGTTTCTTCTTTTAAACACCCCCAGGCTCAGTTGTAAAGGACTAGTGAAGAGCAAAAGGCACTGGCATCCCAATAAATAAACTGACTCTAGATAATAATATTTCCTCAACTACCAGCCTTACCTGTGACACCAGCACATTTCTCAAGACAGTCCTTCTCGGTCAGGTGATTATTCTCATTCTTACCACAGCCTCCATATACAAACCGCTGGCAGGATCTGCTAGTGGCATTGTACCACCACCTGGGTATGGAGGCCCGGCATCTTCCCACCACCTTCGGAGCCTGGCAAAAGTCTGAAACACAAGGCAGAGACCAGTTAGTTTGGCCAGGCAATCCCGGCAACAGAGAACAGGCCCAGACCTGCAGGAGGAGGCCTCAGTTCCTCTGCGAGCCGTTTTTACACGGTCACCAGCAGGCCTCCTTGGTGATTCCTTCCTCATACAGGATAGAAATACATCATCTAACGACAAAGACAACAACCCACCCAACCGAACTGTATTTCTCACATGTTGATTCTGTCCCTGCCCACATTATCAAAGACACACATATCCAGTGGAGAAATATGACATTCAAAGGCAAACACCAGACTTGCAGGCCCTTCTGAATGTGTCCCATCACACCTGGCCACGGGAGCTGAGTGCTAAAGGGCCAGCACTGGTGATGGGAGTCAGGGAGGAAGCACACTGGCCCACTTAGCGCCCTCGTGAGACTTTCTTAACCTTCCCTACCCACTCTATGCCCCTACTGATCACTTCACACTTAAATTACCTCAGAAACAACTCCCTAACTCTAGCCCCCCCCCCCCCCCCCCACTGTGAATCCCAGCTCCAAAGGCAACTCAGGTCACTCCTCTGCTCCAGAGCTGTGATGGCTCCCATCTGAGCACAACAAGGTGCCCCTGAATCTGGCCTGGCTCTAGTACAAGGGAAACAAAACAATGTTATCAAATTCCAGCCAGATACATCTGCCTGCAAAAGGCCTAGCAATCCACCCCCTCTTAAAAAAAGTAAGATAAGCAAGTGTTAGAAGTTCTACTGGCATAAAAATAAGACTTACACCTGGAGGACTAAGGATTGAAAGCAACTTACAAAGGCCACATGAATCGCCCTGGCCAGTTTGGCTCAGCAGTTAGAGTGTTGGCTCTCGGACCAAAGGGTCACGGGTTTGATTCCCAGACAAAGGGCATGTACATGGGTTGCAGGTTTGTTCCTGGCCCTGGTCAGGGTCATGCAGGAGGCAACCAATTGATGTTTCTCTCTCCCTCCCTTCCATTCTGTCTAAAAATCAATGGAAAAATATCCCTGGGTCAGAATTAACAAACAAAAAAAAAGCCACGTGAGTCAACGCCTGCCCTGTACCACTGTACCACCCTCCCATATGATCATGAGTCCACACTGCCTCTCCCTACATCCTGGTCTCCACCATCTCTGCCTTCTGGCAGCACAGGGTGCTGGACAAACATCCCAGGGCCCAACACTTGGTTCCATGTTGTCATTTACTCCTTCTAGTTGTTTCCATGTCTTAGGTTTACTTAATCAACTAGGGATGACTATAGAAAGCACAGGAGGATTTGTGATTTTTGTGTCTCTCAAAATATGTCACAATGATGGGCATGAAACCAAATGTTCCATAAAACATCAATCTGTGCACAAAAAAGGTTGGTGCTTTGCAAAACACCCTCAGAACTCCCTCCACACCAATAAATCACAGGTAACCAGCACAGTAGGAAAAGCACATTCTGAAGAAATCGTTCATTTGAAAGCAAACATCAAAGAAATCACCAGTTAAAAAGTACCTTATCTGGACATGTGATATGACCAGAACCATACAGCATGTCCAGAAAAGGCATATCAACAGGATAGAAAGTGGATTGGTGGTTCTTGGTGCTGGGGGTAGGGCAGTCCCTGCAAATGGGCACAAGAATCTTTTGGAGATGATGGAAATGTTCCAAAACTGGATTGCAGGGATGGCCATACAACTCTATAAATGTACCAATGATCTTTGGTATGTAAATAATACTTTAATAAAGAAGTTTCAAAAAACAGGGATACCTCTTGTCCATAACACATCAACTGGAAATAGCTGGGTATGTACCTGGAGCAAGTACTTTCAACTATGTGCCAAAGGTCACAAAACACACCCAATCAACACAGCCCAGGAAAAACAAGGCAGGAGAGCTCTCTGGTATGTGACTGCCTGACCCACATGGCTGCTCAAATGTTAATGGCAGCAGTGTCATTGAGACAAAACAGTGAGGACCCATACTGGACCCACCTATGACCCCAAACTGAAATCACTGTCAGGACCGGAGTACCCACCTGCTAAAGGCAGCAACAGCCTGCCGGTGCCCTGCTGACCTGAGAGCCCTGGAAAGCCCCTGACCACGGTGTCCTTGCTTCTCAGCCGTTCCAGGTACTGCCGTTTTGGCAAAAACCCATGGGTGGAATTGTACACTTTAAATAGGTGAACCATATAGTATGTGAATTACATTTCAATTAAAACAAAACCTGATACCCTGTCCGGTTTGGCCCAGTGGTTACAGCATTGGCCTGCTCACTGAAGGGTCATGGGTAGATTCAACTCTCAGTCAAGGGCATGTGCAGGAGGCAACCAATTGCTGTGTCTCTCTCAGATCGATGTTTCTCTCTCTCCTCCTCCCTTCCTCCCTTCCACTCTCTCTAAAAATCAATGGAAAAATATCCGTGGGTGAGGATTAACAAACAAACAAACAAACAAACAAACAAACACACAAACAAACCCTGAAGCTCAAGGCAGGAACCACCAGACACCAGCAAGAGGGTGACCGCAGTACAAAGGGTGGATATTCGGTGGCTATTCATGAGCACTGGTGCAGATACACATTCTGCATAGGTGTGAAAGCCTCAGAGTCTGTCAAGAAGAGGAAAAAAGGCCTATCTGGGAGTGGATGGCAGTTTTCTTGGTGAAGGAAGTCAACGCTGCCTGGCATGTGGCCCTCATCTTTCCAGGTGCATCACAGACACAGGGAGGCGGATCCCTGCCACCCAGCACACAAGAGGATATGGAGGAAATAACTGTCAAGAGGGTTAGATGTGAACATTCACCAGCAGAACCTCCTCAGGACGCAAGCTGAAATGTAAATTGTTGCTTTGAGTCCTGAGTAAGAAAAGTTTACTGTGGGGTTCTCCTAGGCACTTCCTCTCCGTGGGTCCGCCTCTGGGACGCTTCCCTTCCTGACGGGAATGTCTTTCTGCAGACGTGCTGGTCTCTTCCTTACTAATCTTTCGAGCCTGGGAGGCCATTCTGTTGCAGACAGCTGCTCACAGCTGCTCTCAATGACCACACACTGATTTCAAAGTTCAAGTTTCAAAAGCAGCCTATTTGCAGGTTCCTTGGGTGGAGTAGGAGGAGATGGGGAGACTTCACTTTTGTCCCATAAAAATTTGGAAGGATCTCTTCATTAAGAAAAACTTAGACAAAAATCACAGTATGTCTGGAGAGAATACTGATCATTGTTGAAGCTGGGTGATGGTTTACAGGGGCTCATAAAACTGTTTTCACTACTCTGTTGTGTATATTTGAAAATTCCTATAATAAAAAGAGAAAAAAGGTAATCTCTTTACTCAAATTTTATTCTAATGAAAGTGAAAGAGCTCTAAGTAGCAGCTTAATTGGCTAAAACTAGGTTTAATTAAGGTGAAATTTAACTACCCCCTTACTGTGTCCAGACAAGCACTTTCTGTGTGTATAGAAGCTCCATGCCGAATGCAGGAAAATCTCATTTTGTCACATGCTTTCACTAACTAAATTGCTTTTGAGCCTCTATGATATAAAATTTTACTCTCAAGGCTTGAGAGAAGTAAACTCATGAAAATAGTTTGTTTTTATTTGCTGTTTGTTTAAAAAAAGACAGTGATCCTTTAGGAAACACAGGCTATATATTCTTGGCTCTCACCCCAAATAACACATTTTTTTCTTTCCTTGTTCTCCAAAAAACTCGTACAAGAAGCCAGAAATACTTTTAGTATGTAAGATGGCTTCTATGACTTATCTTCCTCAAAAGAACTTAAAAAAAATTCCAGTACTGTATTTTGGTAGATACAGATTAAAATAAAAATGCAAAGCATTGCCTATTTCTCGCCACCCCACTTATTGCCTTCACCAGGCAGTAAGCCAGGCACATTATGTGCACCATTTCTAATGGTCAGAATAAAACTGTTACTCGGGTAGTAATGCCCCATTTGACAGACGAGGACTCAGGCCTAGTTAGGGGGTTAAGCTAGGTGAGCAGCAGACCTGGATGTGCATTCGATTCCCATGGTCTGCTCAGGGAGCCACTGTAACAACCCCTTGGATTGAAAGAGCCACTACAGTACCAGGCAGTGGGAAAAACATGGCACTGAAGTGGCCTAAAAGCCACAACATTCCTGAAGACCTTTATCACAATCTGAGGGCTCACCAAGGCCAGGCCCTTGGCTGTGCCCCTGTTTTCAGTCACACTCTGTGACAGGGTCAGGGAAAACATCATACCAAAGGAACTGGCCAGGGATGAGGGGGATTTGGTTGGACAAATTTTCAGGAAGTTATTTCTTAACACATGATTCTATTATTATGGAGATGACAAAATGACATAATGTCTTAGAATAGTGTTGGGAAAAAATCATCAAAAATGTCTTAAGTCCTACTTGTATGCTCACAAATGCCAGTGAAAAATTAAACACTTTCACCCTGGCCGGGTGGCTCAGTTGATTAGAAGAGGGTCATCCCATGCACCAAAAGGCTGCAGGTTTGATTCCCAGTCAGGGCACATACCTAGGCTGCGGATTCAACCCCTAGTCGGGGTGCATACAGGAGGCAACTGATAAATGTTTCTCTCTCTCTCTCTCTCAAATTAATAAACATTGCCCTGGCCGGTTTGGCTCGGCGGTTAGAGCGTCCACATGCGGTCCAGTGAGACCCGGGTTCGGTTCCCGCTAAAGGCGCCTACCTTGGTTGCAGTTTGTCTCTGGCCCTGGTTGGTTGTACAGGAGGCAGCCACTCGATGTGTCCCTTTCACTTCGATGTTTCTCTTTCTCTCTCTCCCTCCCACTTTACCTGAACAATAAATGGAAAAATGTCCTTGGGTGAGGATAAATAAATAAATAAAAACATAAACAAACATTAAAAAAATAAATTAAATACTTTCTATGGGTTCAAAACACAGAGTAAGAAAAGCTTAATAGAACCAAAATTGGATACACTCGCTTCAGAATATGCAAAAATGGAATTTCTGCCTTTGAGAAACAGTAACACTCCTGCAAAAGCATCAGAAGTG